GATACGACACCGTGATATAACTTGAATACTGTTAAAAGCGGCGTTAAACCCAACTCACTCACTCATATTCAGATAAGTGGCTGCCCGAGGTGATTGTTCTTCTTGATTATTTACGACTCGCTGTTTGCTAAGGATCAAGGTTTGATTATATAAAAAAAATCATCCCACCCAATTAAATAAAAATTGAAATATCTGGGTACACAATGATTGGGTAGCCCCTGTAAGACCTCATTTTATGATGAACGGACATCATCATCAGCACAACAACATTTACTACTGAGGATTGCAACACCTGAATGCACTTTTGCCCCCTCAGCGTCAAAGACGTGGTTTGAGGACTGCAGAATAAGGCAAACGCTTAACCCTTAGCTAGGTCAACGCAAAATCACGTTGCAAACGTATTTGGTGTCAGCCAAAGTGTAAGCACGTGTCTACGCAGACAGTGGGTAATCGTCTCTGTGAGGCTGGTCCCCGGTGACGGACGGCATGCACCCTGGTGGGTGAGTATGTAAGGTAGTGAGATAGGATTGTTTGTTTGTTTGTTGTTTAACGCCGCACTCAGCAATATTCCAGCTATGACGGCGGTCTGTAAATAATCAAGTCTGGACCAGACAATCCAGTGATTCACATCATGAGCAGCGATCCACGCAATTTGGATACGTTGACATGCATCAACCAAGTCAGCGAGCCTGATCGACAAATCCCGTTAGTTGCTTCTTACGACAAGCATAGTCGCCTTTTACGGCAAGCATGGGTTGTTGAAGACCTATACTATCCCAGATCTTCACGGGTCCAGAAAAATCGGAGGTGGATGCGTTAATGATGGGAAGGTTCCAAGATACACCTGGACACCTAGCAGATACGTAGCGAGGGTCGCGAGGCAGCTGGAAGAAACAGAGAGACCTTCTCAACACCTTAACTCCTTCACAATCAAATGTGTCATGTCTTCTTGACCTTTATGACATCAAAGCAAGAAACATTGGAAGGAGAATTTTATGTGGTTGTGTTTTAATTTTATGGCGCCTGCTTCTTAGATAGCTTGTCAGTCCAACAGTGCAACACGACCAGGACAAAATGTTCTAACAGGGTCAATAAATACAATCAAAGGAACATTTCTTACAGACTTGATTTACCGGCCTACTTATAAGGCCGTAATGTTATCGAGCCTGGTGCTTACGAAACACATTCGACAGGTCACACCGTTACATTCAGACGGCGTGTTGGTGCACCGCAATATAGCTCCCTCAGATGTGCGGAAGCCAGTCAATACAGTTCAAAGCTGGTTTTAGGTCATCGTCGCGTGGGCGATGTGGAAAGTTAGTTGTTACAGCACTGGCTCCTCGCTAGAGGGACCTAATTTGACTCACAGCGTTTATAACAAGTTCTGTTGTAGAACGATTGTTTTCTCAGCTGGAGTGAGTGAGTTGTGTTTGGCGCCGCTTTTAACAATATTCCAGTCATATCATGGCGTGTCAGCTTAATGCGGGAGGAAAGCCCAAATTGATGCAGGTCTCAGACCGTTTACCACTTTGTTGAAACCCACGAGCACGGGTATGGTGCTGACAAACCTAGAAACATAATCGGGGCGAACCGGGATTCGAACCCACAGTCAATGGTAGCCCCCTCTCAGCTGGAATATTGCAATGCGTAAAAATATACTCTCACTCAGTCACTCGCCCACTCACGTAATATCTGTCAAGACCATTGTGCAGGATGCGTAGAAAGTACAAAAACAACACTCACTCACTCACTCACTCAATCAGCCGCTTAATCTCTGTCAAGACCACTATAAAAGGTACAATAGGATGCTGACGTGATTATAGGAACAGGCACTTTAGGACAATAACGTGATTACAAGATCAGGGACACTTAATTTATGATGACTCCCAGATCAGAATACATGCAAGGCGCCTGCAACCTGTGTTTGTCGTAAGAGGCGACTGAATGCATCGGGTAGTCAGACAGTGCATGTTATAATGGCTTCGATCACAGCTCATAATATCAATCACTGGATTGTCTAGCCCAGTCTTTATTATTTGCAGGCCATCGTTGTATGGCGGGGATATTGCACGGTGCGGCGTTGAACAACAAACAAATCATAATTCTCAAGTACATTTCACCAATAGCATTGCCTTGGCCTTTTTCAACGTTTTATAAGTTCATTGAAATACGTTCCTACCCAAGTTCAACATCGTAAACATTTCAGACGTCCATGTAAAGCTGATCAACTTCCACGTGAATGTAAACACAATCGCCGCATCAGAATATCACAGTGCGCGCACATGATTGTTGTGGAGTGGGGAACTATGACAACATAGATATGAGGCTAAGTGGTTATTTTATGTACGCTTCCGTGTGATTCTCTTCACGTGAGCTCTTGCATCATAACATGACTTAAACATTATTAGGTTTAGGTTACGTTTATTTGAAACTCAAAACGAAAACGCCACTAATACGCATGGGCTGAGGCTTCAAAAGTCATTTTGAAAATAGCATCACACTAAGTTTAAAACAAGCAATTAGTTATTTATACACAAACAGTGTACTTAACACTCAGCATACATATTGACCGCTTCCGTCGTCTAGGGGTAGAGCGTCCGCCCGGAGAGCGATTCGATCCCGGCCGCGTCATACCAAAAGACGTTAAAATATTGTACTTGTTGTTACCCTGGCTGGCGTTAAGCATTGAGGGGCTAATACAAGTAGTGGTCGGCTCTGAGTCAGTATACTTTGTCTGAGTGGGGTATTTATGTTAAACTGTACCAGTACAAGAAGCCGCACACGCACGTGCATGCATGTCGCTATATGAGTGCAATATTTTTGAACGCGAGGTTAAACCCCATGTCACATCGCCTATCACACATACTAAAACAACGTACAATCGGAAATACTGACAAATGCCTTTTGCCGTTGAAGCGAGATAGAATGTTACACAGGCTGTGGCTATTTAAATATCGAGTAACTACGGATCTACCTAGCTGTGGGTAGTTGGTTGTTAGTGGGGACCGCCTCCGTGGTCTAGTGGTAGAGCGTCCTCCCGGAGAGCGGAAGGTCCGGGGTTCGATCCCCGGCCGCGTCATACCAAAAGACGTTAATAGATGGTACTTGTTCTTACCCTGTCTGGCGCTCGGCATTAAGGGGCTAAAACAAGGACTGGTCGGCTCGGAGTCAGTATACTGTGTCTGAGTGGGGTATTCATGTTAAATTGCGGCATGGTATCTCAGCGGGCTAGCACTATAAATCGGCATCAGTCCGGACTAGCACACGCAGCCACACACACACACACACACACACACACACACACACACACACACGTCGCTATCTAAGTGCAATAATCTTGGACGCGACGTTAAACCCCATTTCACCTCACCTTGTCAGTGGATGCCCAGCTTTGGCACAAACACAGTATCTTAAGCGACATGATGGAGTGGCGCGATCATTTTATTACCGTCTTCACAATGCTTGTGGTTTTGGCACAGAGGTCAACCCATGGTATGACCCCGAATATGTAGAGGCCGTCATTGAAAATGAAAAATACAAACTTCTTGGGAATAGGCCCGTATACAGCTCAGACGTATCCAGGCCAACAAACCTGATATTGTCCTTTTTTATATATCCAATGAAATACTTTAGATTATTGAATTTTCTGTCCCTTTTGACACTAATGTGATTGGTTGACTGACATTTGGAGAGTACCCGGGTTTGTTGCCAGGAATACAGCCCTTCTGACAATCTCACATACGCCAGTCAGACATTGTGAGCTCAACCCTTTTGAGCTGTGAAGGATTCTTGGCCAAACATTCAAACTCACACATGTCAAAGGGTTGATCAACGCAGCCTTTTCAAGAATCACACAAACGATATGGCAAAAGGGTGAAGATCATTTTCTTGAAATAGAACGCCAGTACGGCAAACGTGACGGCTTGATATCAGCCTTGTTGCACCAATTATGGTGGCACGTGGTCCTGTGCACAGCGCACAGATCACAAATCATGGGAAGTTAAGCAACGTCGGTCTCGGAGAGTAGTTGGATGGGTGCTTGACTCTTCTCGATTCCTAAAAACCCAACCTTCCAATACTCATTCCGTTTCATAGCTTTTAACTATTCCATCATTTTCCAAGCAAACATCGCATCACCTCGGGCTTTCCTCCCGAAACTGGAATGCTGTTCAAAGCGGCGTTAAACCCAACTCACTCACTCACTCACAAGAAAATGTAGTGCAGTGCATATCTTAACTGCAAATCCAAAAGGATCTGTTCTCGGGTGTTAACATACACATGTCCTTCCGTGTGTCATTTTGTATAGATATATAACGATCGAATCTAAAAGAAATCAATCACTTTCGAATATATATCACATATATATCACTCGTGTTTTATCCCCTGTTATACGTAGACGGGACCGAAACCTAGTCTTGGTATAAACGTTTGACCTCGCTGATTGTGTAACATCGTGCCCCAACGGCGTGAATTGATGCTCATGCTATCAACCCCTGGTTCATGTTCCCAAAGTCGATAACATTCAGATCGCTGTTGGTGAGTGAGTGAGTGAGTGAGTGAGTGAGTGAGTGAGTGAGTGAGTGAGTGAGTGAGTGAGAACGAACCCTTACCTTCGGCGTGACGAGCGAACACTTTAACCACTAGGCTACCCCTCCACCACCGCCCTTACTAACCGTTATTGCACACATATAGCCTCGCGAAGATTCCGAGACAGAACTGGTCTTCAACAACATGTCATTGTATTCTAATTACGTAGATTGAAGCAATCACTGGATTGCCTGGTCCGCATGCGATTGTTTACAGACGATAAACGTCAAACAAACAACATACATACGCTGGAAAATGAGCCCAAGGTAGTCCAGCCTAATCCTGTAAGCAGTAATTGATACTACTGAAACCGGTTCATCTCGGTTCATATTAAACCATTCAAATGACAGTGGGTATAGTGTTATAGCAGATGTGTGAAACTCGAGCCACCTGTCACACACCTCCATCACATGACCAGGGCAGGTCGTTTCAATACTTCTCTCAACATGGCGACTCATAATAAAGTGATGCTGATGATTTTATTAACAGTCCTATCTGTGCCCTCGTCCGGAGCAATTACCAAATGTGAGAAAATGTCCTCTTGTTCCTGTAAAACCGACAAAGGTGTGGTGGACTTAACTCCCCTCTCGGGCACAAATGGACCAAGGTAAACACTGCTTTAAATGCGGCCCTGCGACCATCAATCTGTGTATTTCACTTGCAATCTCTTTGTATATAACTAATTATGTATCTATATAATCGATATTTTTGTCATTAACTATTACTATCGGTATATTCATGTTTTGACATTGTATCTACATACTGGTTATCGCTATGTTTGTATTTAGCAGTACCATTAGTGTCGTAGGTTCATTGCTTGATTCATGCATGTTTTGTTGTAACAGCTACATGTTTTGTTGTGACAGCTACATGTTTTGTTGTGACAGCTACATGTTTCGAAATGGAGATGTTTCAGTTTGGGAGCTTGATCAGATTGAAAGACGCCTCAACCAAATCGAGACCCTGTTTCACAATGCGAGCTAAGCTCAACTAATGTCCGTTCAATGTATGAGTGTCATGAGCGACTTAACGCTGAGATCGCTTTGTTAGACACAATATTTGTTCTGTGACAGCTACACGACACGCATTTCTTCTCTGAAAGACGGAACCGAATAATATTTAAGGATTTTTACAGAATATCCAGCGAGCCAAGCGAACATTCTATTTTGTAAACTCGTAATTGTCGTCTAAAATGTAGTTGGATCTGAGAGGTAGTTCTATAGTCAGTTAACATTCCCATGGCCAATGTGTACAGTCGTTTGCACATTCCCACGTCTAGTGTTTACAGTCTGCACATTCCCACATCTAGTGTGTACAGTGGTCTGCACATTCCCACGTCTAGTGTGTACAGTCGTCTGCACATTCCCACGTCTAGTGTGTACAGTCTGCACATTCCCACATCTAGTGTGTACAGTGGTCTGCACATTCCCACGTCTAGTGTGTACAGTCGTCTGCACATTCCCACATCTAGTGTGTACAGTGGTCTGCACATTCCCACGTCTAGTGTTTACAGTCTGCACATTCCCACATCTAGTGTGTACAGTGGTCTGCACATTCCCACGTCTAGTGTGCACATTCGTCTGCACATTCCAGCCTCTAGTGTGTACAGTCGTCTGCACATTCCAACGTCTAGTGTGTACAGTCGTCTGCACATTCCCACGTCTAGTGTGCACAGTCTGCACATTCCCACATCTAGTGTGCACAGTCGTCTGCACATTTCTACGTCTAGTGTGTACAGTCTGCACATTCCCACGTCTAATGTGCACAGTCGTCTGTACATTTCCACCTCTTTTGTGTACAGTCGTCTGCACATTCCCACGTCTAGTGTGTACAGTCTGTATATTCCCACATCTAGTGTGTACAGTCGTCTGCACATTCCCACATCTAGTGTGTACAGTCTGCACATTCCCACCTCTTTTGTGTACAGTCGTCTGCACATTCCCACGTCTAGTGTGTACAGTCTGCACATTCCCACGTCTAGTGTGTACAGTCTGCACATTCCCACGTCTAGTGTGTACAGTCGTCTGCACATTCCCACGTCTAGTGTGCACAGTCGTCTGCACATTCCCACGTATAGTGTGTACAGTGGTCTGCACATTCCAACATCTAGTGTGTACAGTCGTCTGCATATTCCCACATCTAATGTGCACAGTCTTCTGTACATTTTCACGTCTTTTGTGTACAGTCGTCTGCACATTCCCATGTCTAGTGTGCACAGTCGTCTGCACATTCCAACGTCTAGTGTGCACAGTCGTCTGCACATTCCCACGTCTAGTGTGTACAGTCGTCTGCACATTCCCATGTCTAGTGTGCACAGTCGTCTGCACATTCCCACGTCTAGTGTGCACAGTCGTCTGCACATTCCCACGTCTAGTGTGCACAGTCGTCTGTACATTTCCACGTCTTTTGTGTACAGTCGTCTGCACTTTCCCACGTCTAGTGTGTACAGTCGTCTGCACATTACCACGTCTAGTGTGCACAGTCTGCACATTCCCACATTTAATGTGCACAGTCGTCTGCACATTTCCACGTCTAGTGTGTACAGTCGTCTGCACATTCCCACGTATAGTGTGTACAGTCGTCTGCACATTACCACATCTAGTGTGTACAGTCGTCTGCACATTACCACGTCTAGTGAGCACAGTCTGCACATTCCCACGTCTAGTGTGTACAGTCGTCTGCACATTTCTACGTCTAGTGTGCACATTCGTCTGCACATTCCCACGTCTAGTGTGCACAGTCGTCTGTACATTTCCACGTCTAGTGTGTACAGTCGTCTGCACATTTCTACGTCTAGTGTGCACAGTCGTCTGCACATTCCCACGTCTAGTGTGTACAGTCGTCTTCACATTTCTACGTCTAGTGTGCACAGTCTGCACATTCCCACGTCTAGTGTGTACAGTCGTCTGCATATTACCACGTCTAGTGTGCACAGTCTGCACATTCCCACGTCTAGTGTGCACAGTCTGCACATTCCCATGTCTAGTGTGCACAGTCTGCACATTCCCACGTCTAGTGTGTACAGTCGTCTGCACATTTCTACGTCTAGTGTGCACAGTCTGCACATTCCCACGTCTAGTGTGCACAGTCTGCACATTCCCACGTCTAGTGTGTACAGTCGTCTGCACATTTCTACGTCTAGTGTGCACAGTCGTCTGCACATTCCCACGTCTAGTGTGCACAGTCGTCTGTACATTTCCACGTAAAGTGTGTACAGTCGTCTGCATATTCCCACATCTAATGTGCACAGTCGTCTGCACATTTCCGAGTCTAGTGTGTACAGTCGTCTGCACATTTCTACGTCTAGTGTGCACAGTCTGCACATTCCCACGTCTAGTGTGTACAGTCGTCTGCATATTACCACGTCTAGTGTGCACAGTCTGCACATTCCCACGTCTAGTGTGCACAGTCTGCACATTCCCATGTCTAGTGTGCACAGTCTGCACATTCCCACGTCTAGTGTGTACAGTCGTCTGCACATTTCTACGTCTAGTGTGCACAGTCTGCACATTCCCACGTCTAGTGTGCACAGTCTGCACATTCCCATGTCTAGTGTGCACAGTCTGCACATTCCCACGTCTAGTGTGCTCAGTCGTCTGTACATTCCCACATCTAGTGTGTACAGTCGTCTGCACATTCCCACGTCTAGTGTGTACAGTCGTCTGCACATTCCCACATCTAGTGTGTACAGTCGTCTGCACATTCCCACGTCTAGTGTGTACAGTCCTCTGCACATTCCCACGTCTAGTGTGTACAGTCGTCTGCACATTCCAACGTCTAGTGTGTACAGTCGTCTGCACATTCCCACGTCTAGTGTGCACAGTCTGCACATTCCCACATCTAGTGTGCACAGTCGTCTGCACATTTCTACGTCTAGTGTGTACAGTCTGCACATTCCCACGTCTAATGTGCACAGTCGTCTGTACATTTCCACCTCTTTTGTGTACAGTCGTCTGCACATTCCCACGTCTAGTGTGTACAGTCTGTATATTCCCACATCTAGTGTGTACAGTCGTCTGCACATTCCCACATCTAGTGTGTACAGTCTGCACATTTCCACCTCTTTTGTGTACAGTCGTCTGCACATTCCCACGTCTAGTGTGTACAGTCTGCACATTCCCACATCTAGTGTGTACAGTCGTCTGCACATTCCCACGTCTAGTGTGTACAGTCGTCTGCCCATTCCCACATCTAGTGTGTACAGTCGTCTGCACATTCCAACGTCTAGTGTGTACAGTCGTCTGCACATTACCACGTCTAGTGTGCACAGTCGTCTGCACATTCCCACGTCTAGTGTGCACAGTCGTCTGCACATTCCCACGTCTAGTGTGTACAGTCGTCTGCACATTCCCACGTCTAGTGTGTACAGTCGTCTGCACGTTCCCACGTCTAGTGTGTACAGTCGTCTGCACATTCCCACGTCTAGTGTGTACAGTCGTCTGCACATTCCCACGTCTAGTGTGTACAGTCGTCTCCACATTCCAACATCTAGTGTGCACAGTCGTCTGTACATTTCCACGTCTTTTGTGTACAGTCGTCTGTACATTCCTACGTCTAGTGTGCACAGTCGTCTGCACATTCCCACGTCTAGTGTGTACAGTCGTCTGCACATTCCCACGTCTAGAAAATATCTCCCTGTGTGCAGTCGTCAGAACCCAAGGAGCAGAAAGACGTAGGTACTGATGCACACGCCGGGATCTCTCCTTTGTTACAGATTTAAAGACAAGCTAGCACCCAACGGGGACAAGTTCTCTTGGAATCCCTGCAAGCCATTCTCAGAGGGGACATGCAAGGGTGTAGCGGTCAGTAACGCCCTTTACGTTTATTTAGCTCACCTGGTGAATCTCTCTAACTAATCTCCTTGCAACCGCATTTGATGTTTATATGCATCTCAATCTCACTACAGCCTCAATATAAACTAGTATCTATCGGGCAGCTGTAGTGTGTTTAATATCCCACTGGATCAGTCAAACACAAGGGATATTTACCCTGTCTGGCGATTACCAATCCCCATCCTTGCCACGCTTTTCCGCCATTGTGACCAATTAATCATCATGAACCGAGGGCAAGGTGAACATCTTCTATGACTTTGGTCTGTACATAATCCAGTCTGGACCAAACAATCTAATGATTGACATCACGAGCATCAATCCACGCAATTGGGATTATATGACAAGCATCAACCAAGTCAATGAGCCTGACCACCCAATCTCGTTAGTTCCCTCTTTACTAAGGCCACCTTCACGAGGCAAGACTGTCCAGTATCCTATATATAGTGAAGCCTGGGCCTTGGTGCAGACCGGTGCACACTCTTCCCTCGGGAAGCTGCTAACGACAGGCATAGGCTTTCACATATAGACTTGTTTGGGACCGCCTCCGTGGTCCAGTGGTAGAGCGTCGGCCCGAAGAACGGAAGGTCCTGGGTTCGATCCGCGGTCGCGTCATACCAAAAGACGTTAAAAGATGTTACTTGTTGTTACCCTTCCTGACGTTAAGGGACTAAAACAAGGTCTGGTCTGCTTGGAGTAACCATACTGTGTCCGAGCGAGGTATTTATGTTAAACTGCGGCATGGTATCTCAGTGAGCTAGAGCTATAAAATCGGCATCAGTCCGGACTGGCAGCTACACACAGACACGCAATATAAGTGCCATAGTTTTGAACGCGACGTTAAACCCATTTCACCTCACCTCACCCATCTTGCTTGGACCATCATTTGAATGTTTTTTTCTACGCTACAGGCTTGTCAGATACAGAAGCTCTTACCGCCGTCCTACTTCAACATTGGGAACCAAGACAGCGCCACCTTCACTGTAGACCAGGGACTGAAGCTCACCTACTCTGCCGACACATTCCTTGATCAACCTGGCGCCCCCAACATTGTCAGGTGAGCTAAAACTTCGATGTCGGATACAATATGATGGCATGTAGTTCGATGAGTGAGTGTGGTTTTACGCCGCTTTTAGCAATATTCCAGCAATATCACGGCGGGGCACACCAGAAAATAGGCTTCACACATTGTACCTATGTCGGTATTCGAACCCGGGTCTTCGGCGTGACGAGCGAACGCTTTAACCACAAGGCTACCCCAGCGCCCCCTGTAGTTCTATGATGGCACCAAGGTAAACTATGGGGTGAAGGAAAGTAACGCCGTAGTGCAGCTAAATGAGTGACCTCTCTGCTAGCATGACCTCAGTCCCACATTGAACCACAGGTAATAAAACATGTGGTGTCTCCTTTGGTTTTGTGTTTACCCAAGGATAACGCGATAGTATGCGAACCAGCCCAAACAGACAACTTGTGATGAATACTCCCACGGAAGCTGAGAAGCCGCACGTGTGTTGGACATGCCCCTCTGTTTTGTTTAGTGTTGCCCGTTATGAGTGGCATGTTGTTATAATTACAACTTAGGCAGCACACGGTTTAAAACACCCACACGCGATATCACATAAATCTTTGGGCTTGTTTCTCGCCTTTTGAAAATGCATTTTATAACACCGACACATTGTATTCGTAGATTATTCTAAAGATATCTTTCGGCTATTCCAGAACCACCAAAGTATCATTAGTTTGTGACGAAAGTAAAGATCCAGGGGAGCTAACTGTTGATGGAGAGACGAAAGCCGGAAGTGCAGTTTACGTGAGTTTAACGAATGTATTTCCTGTTTTCTGTAAAACATAATGTTATAGCGTGACCAGGTGATGTATTTAGAAGAGGGAGGGCATAAGATTCACCCACTTCAGGGTTTGTAACAAATCTAAATGTAAAGTTTTTATATTATACTAATATAGTAATGTCGCAACCCCCCCCCCCCCCCCCCCCCCTCCAAATCCCGACCCCTAACTGACCACAACTTTACTTCAGGTGATGACCCTGGCCAGCAAGTATGCCTGTGAGTCTGTCCCTGCCACGCCCAGTGGAATCTCAGTTGGCACCGTCCTGGACATCATGTGAGCGCACCATCAACTGTGGCAGTGATTGAATTCGGTATCATGTTTTAGTCGTCCTTTGTCAATACCTTCCCGAGGCAAGGGGGTTTTCTGACTATAAAAGTCCAGTTTCCACCCTTGCCGAACTAGGCGTCAATTATGGAGTTATATTTTGGCTGGACTAATGAGTCTGTGCATAGTCCAATCAAAATCGAGTGACGCAATTGACATTCGGTTGATAAACAACATGGCGACTGCAATGCAGATTTCGGTCGATTGCAGGATTAGCAGATCATGTGTGCCGTCAACTGGGTGTCGACAGATATTTTCCATATCTTTTTAACGAAGGTTCTGTATTTAACGAAGGTGTTCAAGTGATTTGATGCCCTTCGCGAGGGGAGACCAGTTTTATTGCAATGAAAGTCTCGATTATCGATCAGATCGTCTTGACTGAGCGCCGATATTTTATTTGAAGTAAATGCAAGTCATTTGAGAGATGTTATCTGATTGGTCAATAGTAGGGACATAAAAGGGACATAACTCGTAATCGCCACTGGTGCCGCTGCGATCGAGCCTTGTAATTCCAACCAAGTTCAGCAAGAGTGGAAACTGGACTTATAAAGTTAGTTAACTCCCTTGCTTGGGAAGATGTATTATGACAGTTGGAGGTCATCTTGAAATTTGACAGCCAGCTTCAATATACACACCAAGTAATATCTAGTGTAAAGTTACATATCTTTGACTCTTACCCTTTACACCAGGCAATCAGGGTGACAAGGGAAATCTTCAACCGTTGCGTTAAAATTTATTTCAATATTAAGCATTAAGTATATGAAAAATGCCAAATCCACATGAAGAGCGACTCGTTCTACATATTGGAAGACTTTCTGCCCTACGTAATGAACATGTCTCACATTTACTGAGGTTAACTAGACGCGTAAGTTTGGTGATCTCTCAACACTTACTGTTAAGAATTGTTTGAAGATCATACACCAGTAATACCAAGCCTCTTGTTGCAGCCTGTTAGTGTGTACGGTCCTCTACGTCTGTGTGGGGATTGGCTTCCAGAAATACGTGAGGAAGGCGGAGGGGAGAGAGATCTTGCCCCACTACTCGTTCTGGGTGGATCTACCCAGACTTATTAGAGTGAGTATATGTTTTAATCTACCCGTTCTGGTTGGATCTACCTAGACTAATAATAGTCAGTATATGTTTTCATCTACCCGTTCTGGGAGGGCCTACCCAGGCTTATCATAGTCAGTATATGTTTTCATCTACCCGTTCTGGGAGGGCCTACCCAGGCTTATAGTGAGTACATGTTCTATCTACCTGTTCTTGGAGGGTCTATCCAGACTTATCATAGTGAGTACATGTTCTAACTACCCGTTCTGGGAGGGTCTATCCGGACTTGCGTAGATCAAAGCACATGATGTCTGTCAATCACTGGATTGTCTGGTCCAGATTCGAATATTTACAGACCGCCCTCATATAGCTGGAATATTGCTGAGTGCGACGCTAACAACAAACAAATCGAAGCCTTCTAAACCAAAATAGATTTTCATGCAACTATATATTTTACCTGTAGATGAGACTGATTAAGAGCTTGTCCATCACGTCTGATTGTAGGATGGCACGTTGTTCGCTGTGAGCTTGTGTGGGAGGCGGTCGACAAATAAGACGTACGACAACATCTAGTTCCATAGTTCCATTCCTGGCTCACTCTGGTCTCTCACGCGCAGGGAATTCTGCAACATTCTTACCGTCATTTAGGAAAGTGGGCATGCAATTTGCCAATCAACCCTAGGATTTTCAGGAGATACTTTAGAATTTGTCATATTTCAATAATTTAAAAGGTACTATGTTGGGTGCATATCACTGGGGTTCATATGCGATTGTAGGAAAGGGAGGGTCAATCCCATGCCCCAAACCATCCACCCCCACCTCTACACACCCTACATTCCAACCTTGGATCGTCAGTCGAAAAATACGGATGGATTACGCATGGAGGATATTCCATGTTAACCGATGTAGAGATGAAGAGAGAGGTGGGGGAGGTAAGAGAAAGGGGAGAGAGTGTTGAAACGGGGGTGGGGGGGGGGGGGTGGACGTAACTGTATTAACCATGGCTGTAATTGTAGCCATACATGTATCTTCATACTTCGACAGGCAGGGGGCGCGGTCAATATAGGCTATGTACACGTGGTCCATTAGAGCCAATTATATTTTATAGATTAAGCGGTCAGCTTTGATATAAGTCATGAGTAACTGGAATGTGTTTTGTTTTGTTTGTTTACGATGTGAGCCTCGGGGTAATTCTTGAGTGTGCTTGCGTGGTTTCCTGTTAACGCCTTACGATGTTTTAAACAAAAAGTAAAAAACAGTTTTGACAATGAAAATAAATGTCTTTGTTTCTATTATCCAACCATACGTAAAATCTGCAGTATGTGAGCGAGTGAATGCTGTTGTATGCCGTGGTCGCCCTACAGCATGTCTATGTGGTGGAACTTCACCAACTCGCCAGAGACAAAATATAATAGTGAGTGTCTGATGAAAGACTACACGGAATGTGCAATAGACCAACGGTCATTCTCGTTCATTATCTGCCGGGATAATTGGTCGTGTGTTCGAATCTCAGTTTCAACACCATAATGAACTTAATGTTCCTCATACCCATGGGTGTGGGTTTCAACAAGGCGTGTAAAGTCTGCGACCTACTTTCAGTGCCTTGTGGCAAACTGAAAAACCCGTGAAAGTCCTGAGTAGAATAGGTCCTCAGCAACCATAGCTGGTAGTAAGAGGCGACTAACGGGATCGGGTGGTCAGACTCGCTGACTTGGTTGATGCATGTCATCGTATCCCAATTGCGTGGATCGATGCTCATGATATTAGTCACTGGATTGTCTGCTCTAGACTCGATTATTTACAGACCACCGTCATATAGCTGGAAAATTACTGAGTCCGGCTATCAACAACAAACAAACAAACAACCAAAAGTGTTTACTGAAATATTAGTGAGTATGGTTTTACGCCGTTTGGGGCAATATTCTAGCACTGGGAGGAGCACAGCCAACTGGACGCAATGAAGGGAATCTAATCCAGGTATTCGGCATCAGGGCCGATTGCTTTTCTACCCTAGGGTACACCATCGGCCCTACTATTAGGGTAAATGGATGTTGGATGTCGGGTGTCGGATGTCTGGTGTCGGATGTCGGATGTCGGATGTCATATGTCAGGTAGTGGAGGCCCTTTCTGTCTCGGACCTACTGCAGTGGGTATTGTTATCTGTCTGTCTGTCTGTCAATCCATCTATCCATCACACATCTATCTATCTATCTATCACACACACACACACACACACACACACACACACACACACACACACACACACACACCTCCTACCTCGGAAGAAGCGTGGATTAGAGACAGTGAACATTAGCTGTCTCCGTTGTCAGTACGTCTACATAGTGCATGTAGGTGTGTAAACTAGAAACTATTTGTTTGGTTCATGAACAGTTGATGGTTGTTGTGTCACGTGAAGCTTAGGTGACCAAACGGAATACTGACACATGTTCCGCCCTCTTCCCTCTGCATCCCAGAGATGGGTTACTCCGGTTACTCCGGTTACCCCGGTTACCCCGGTTACCAAGGTACCATCCCCAATGGGTTCAGTGTTTGAAGTCTATAATTGCAATGTGTATACTATTTGGGTGTACGTGTATTCATGGTCTGGGTCGTCTACTGTTTAATTACCAATCAATCAACATGAATGACCAATCAGAAAGTCTAAAGTCACACACGTTCCACCAACTTCAAACGTGTTGGACTAAACAAACAAAATTATTTTGCAAGAAAATAGTCTTTTAAACATATTTCGTGTACAAAGCAATTACTGTAAATCTGGAATGTTTTGCCAGCAGTAAAGTACTGCGAAAATGGCGAGTTACAACACTCGTTTCAATAGTTTCATGACGTCGTTATTGTTAATAAAAACAGTTAAGGCTATTGTAAGCCACTCGAAATATATTCATGGCCAAAACTCTTTTTTTAAATTAATAGTTTCGGGAAATACTGGAAACACGTAATATTGCCTCATATTTTACATTTGAAAATAATTGTTCAGCGACCTCCAACCCCAATCAAGAATATCTAATGTCGCTCCCTAAATAATACATTAGCAATACCTAGCTACATGTGAGTGACATATTCTACCGGGTGTGGACTATGGCTGAAACGTGAACCAAGAGTTACAGCTATAATCGTCTCAAGTCGACTCTAAGTGATATGCTCTGTAACGCTATACGACATCACGTGCGGCTGTCGTGATCACGTGATCTCACACACCCGCCATTACTTCAGGTGCTAGTCAGGAGATCTAACCATGAAACGAGGAATTCCTGCTCTGATTGCTATCTTACTTTACATATTGCAAGTTGATTGTATAACACAGTGTAAGAAGACGACTGCATGTTCGTGCATGGGAGATAATGGCATGATCGACTTATCTCCCTTGGCGAGTAACGGCGGAGCGCGGTAAGTACTCCACGTGTGAAAGGGTGAGTGTGGTTTAACGCCGCTTTTAGAAATATTACAGCTAAATCACATCATGACACTAGAAATTTCACACGTTGTACTCTTATGGGGAATCAAACCCGGTTTTCGGCGTGGCGAGCAGACGCATTAACCACCAGGCTACCATGTGATGAACATCACTAATACTTATGAAGCGACGTTCTTTGTGAGGGGTGGAATTAAGATGTACGAATCTGCCTGTTTCATATTTAATTGGTATGTGTGCAAATGAACATTGCCTCCATTAATATTGCTTTATTGTTCCGGGTAGTATCATACGAATGTAACTTCGGATCCATATTCGCATATCAAATAACTATGGATAATCATGTATCTGTGTCAGAGTCCTATTTCAGCGAGCAGGAGTGACTCAGTCGTCTGAGGCGCCGCAATTCGCTATGCAGAGTTGCGTCCCTTCGGCACGCAAGAAACCTGATTGTGGGTTCGATTCCCGGGTTTCCCTGATTATGTTGCTAGGTTTGTCAGCACCATACCCGAGCTCGTGGGTTTCATCGAAGTGGTAAACGTCTTAAACCTGCATCACTTCGGGCTCTCCTCCCACGTATAGAGGGAATACTGGTCAAAGCGGCGTTAAACTCATCTAACTCACTTTTGTTCTATTTTGAAAATGGGATCAGAAAAACTGGCGGAATAATAAACTTTAAACGCTGTGACACTGTACAAAATATTCATACTAATTAATTGAAACTTAGCGAGATGCACACCAAGAGATAAAATCACAAAGTATTATTACAGATAAGCCAATAACTAAATGTTTTCCGATACAAATTGTGTTAAGATGTCTACAATTACAGATTACCTTCATGATCAAATGTTGCAGAGTCGATAATTGGTGGATGCGTTGCCCCCAAAGTACTGCTGCGAATACGCTGTACACTCCAGGAGACAGCAATATATAACATGTACTTATATCAGTATTTGAAACTGACTACCCATCTGGAACGAGCTCGAGAAAAGGTGCCCTATTGTATATGTCCTTCGTTGTGATGCGATTGCTTGAACCAAAAGAATCCTATTGTGATTGGAACCCCGGCAAATTTGATACTTCAGTCTTATTCCTATCAGGGTGTGACTTGTTTAAAAGGCATTACTTAGAAGTTGACGGATAACAAATTAAAGCAGACACAGTTTATGGATAACAACTTCTAAAACTGTGGAGGCGACATTTCGGTGTAGATGCTTAAACCGTTGTCTAGCAAGACTTGCCTGACAAGTCGGTATCCATAAATTGTGTCTACTTTGCTTTCTGGATGTGCTTTCCGCTGACAGGTTTAAAGACATATCGGCCACGTCTGGAGACCAGTTTTCCTGGAACCCATGTAAACCATTTACAGAGAAGGGCTGCAAGAATGTGGCAGTGAGTATGTTCTGCTTTTCGCTGTAATTCAAATGACTGGCTGGTATACACATCCATCATGTTTGCAGTATTCTGTACTATATGCTGATTTGGCAGATGTTTGAATATGTTTGAAATGTCATTCCTGTAACGGGACATTATGTTTAACAGCAGGTGCGAGGATAACGTCACTGGAAGGTAACAGGTATCGCTGGAATATTATATTAGATCCCTGAGATGATGTATCCTGATATATTATGTACGGATGATTGATCTTTACGAGTTCCGCTCTCGGAGGACAAGGCATGACAGTGCATGTACCAGAAAAAAACAGCAACCAGCCACGCCATTGGGGCACAGTCAGTGTATTTCATGCATAAGAACCAAACGCCCTTAATTTTGGTCGATTTGTTTCTACCAGCATGGGGATAGAGGACTTCGAAATCCCGGCGAGTTTGTCAGGAATACGATCTGGGCGGCAAAAGAAAGTATAGGTCGAGTTCCATGATAGATAAAAAAATAAGAAGAAGAGGTTTTGTTGTGAATTATAATATAATCTAGGGAGGGGTAACAAATGATTGATCAACCACAGTTTGATTGAAATTGTGCAATCACATGTAATGTAAGCTCAAGGTAAACAATGGTGGGGTAGAAATTTCATTTTCAAAGGTTGTCTGAAATGTCACCAAAAAATTGTCAGACATACTTCAAGTTCATTGTCGACACAGTTGCCTTCAATAGCGTGTATGACGTCCAGCTGCCTCGATGCTCGCTGTGATACGCCGCCTCATCGATGACGTCAGTCTTCTGATGACGTGGACTGGAATCCGTTGCCACTCGTCTCTCCGGGCCTGCTGCATTTCTTGTCTGTTGACGGGAGGCTGATGGCTTGCTCTAATCTGTCTGTCAAGATGGTCCCACAGATGTTCAATAGGATTCATATCGGGTGAGTGGGCAGGCCAGGGCAAAACGTCAACTTTCTGCTGATTTAGAAAGTTCCGAGTCACTCTTGCAGTATGGGGTGTTGAAACAATGTCCCCTGCTGTTGGTTTTGTAAGAACGGAAGCACAACTGTCTGCAACACTTGGTCTCTGTACTGCACAGCACAGTCTCAGGCGTCGATGTTGAGCAGTCAGTACCATTCCTCGGAAAGGACGCTACGCTCGGATTCCAGCAGCACGTCGCCGTCACTGTTACGAATCTGTTTCGCAGGTGAATGAGCCGTATCTGACCGTCTTCCAGTGGTGTTGTCACTCGGGGTCGTCCGGTCCTAGGCCAGTCCTGTGTCCTCCCTGTCTGCATGTACCGTTGAATAAGCCTGGCTACTGTCAATGGTGTACAACCAAACTTGGCAATTTGGAGCTGTGTTGCCCCCATTTCGGCCAGACCGATGGCTCTCTCTCTCTCTGCTCCTGTGACAGTCGTGGCATTTCTTTTGTGTGCTTTCATCACTTGTGGTTATACCCTGCAGACGAACGCATTTATACAGCTAACATGCACGTGCAGTTTATGCCATAGGCGGGAAACCTGTTTCACCATTTTTCTGTCACCGCACGAGCGCCGTCAAAGGTGGCGCGTTCGGGTGAGGTGATTTTTGGTACCTGGTCCCTATACTTTCTTTTGCCGCTTAGTTTACAAGGGGTGGCTGAGAAGGTCTGAGCCTTGCTATGAAGGACTGCGTTGGTGGAGTTCATTGCAACACACGAGGTCCGCACACTTCTGCCCACAAAGCTAGATCCCGCTTGTGTAGATGGCATCGTCTTTGGGGTTGAATACATCCCCCAAGGCAGGAATTTGCCTAATGCTAGCCAGACAGTTCTTTCTTCACTTTGGAAGAGTTAGAAATCTGACGATGCCCAATCTGGTGAATATCGAGTTCAAATCCACCATGGCGACACCAGACCTGTGCACGGGTGGACTGTCCTGGGCCCCGTTCAACAAAGCGATCGTAGCGCTTAGACGAATGTAACTCCCATACTTTAACATAATCTTATGGCAGTCTCATGATTGTAAGCCTATGTTAAAGCATGGGAGTTACAATTACCTTAGCGCTAAGATTGCTTCATGTAACTGGACCCTGATGGAACAAAACAATTTTCATGAGTTTTCGACGACGGTTAGCCTTGATATGCTCACGCAGTTGCCTAAGCAGATTAGCACATTGGCCATTTATGGTCTGACCTTTCAGAGGGTTGTCCATCAGTAGGATTCCTTGGGATATTTCCAGGAACCAAAGCTATCACCCTGACAGCTGATGCATCAAACTTTGATAAGGCGTTACATGTTTCCACTGTCTGGGCTGAGTTGTTTTGGTTTCTGGCTGATGGTGATGAACCAAGACTCATCCATGATTCCATATCGTAAAATCTCCCGAGAGATGATGACACTGGGGCGGTTCCTATCAGGAGTCAGAAACCTGGCTGCAGAAACCTTCGTCGTGCCAAGTTCATTACGCAGAATGTTCCCAACTTGCTCGTGCGAGATGCATACCGTTGTGGCTGTGTGACGTTTATTGTACATTTTATTAACATTTCCCTTGGTGGTGGCTGTTGAAGGTCTTCGTGATCTTGGATCATCTTCAAGGCTTTCTGATCCCTTCTGGACCTCCGATGTCCACCTCTTACAGTGCCACAGGAAGAAGCACTACCCCCCCTCCCCATCCCCCACCACCCCACCGCCCCTTTCATCAACAGCGAATACCAGGTTGTGTTGTTCAAATGCAGCCAGTAAGCAGTATTGTACTTAATGAATGCAAACTGTTAAAGGCGTACTTTATATCCTTCTTACCTGGTCTCAGAACGTGTTATTGATCAGCCACCCATTGGAGCACAAGCAAGATCAGCAACCACCTGTAGCGATATCCCTTATATATATATATATATTACAGATCCGCTAACACACTTTCTCCCCCCAGGCGTGTCAGATCCAGAACGCGAATCCACCTGCCTACTTCAGTATCGGCACACAGGACAGCGCCAAATTCCAAGTGAACAAAGGGGCCTTGACCTTGACCTACTCGGCAGACACCTTCCTTGGAACAGGACCGGAACTTGCACCCAATTTTCTCAGGTAAATCTCCCACTGACAGATATTCCAAATGCGTGTTTGGGAGCAAGGAGAAGCTTTGCAGACACTGTCATATATGTCTAACTAAATTTTCCCATATGTGTCTTTATAAGTGTCCGTTCTCCAATATGAGCAATATGGCGTCTCTGTACTGATAAATGTTATAACCTCTGCGCTTTACATAATCAAGATTTCGTCTCGGATTGTCTGATATAACGGTTATCATTGGACGACATCGTTCTATACCGAAGCCAGTGAGATTGTGTCCTTTCTGTCAATCTTGTATGGAGGATGAACTTCATTTACTGCATATCTGTACTGTTTATACTGATTTAAAGGAAGTATGTATCCCACAGAAATACCTGCGTTTACCAATTTGTATTCATGTAAATCTCCGTTGAATGGAAAAAATGATGGAAAAACAATTCTTAGGTAAGCATTATTTGTTCATCATGCACGTTCTCGGCGCAAGAATCTTAAAGTATCGTGACAATAATTATGTACACCCACTTCGTAACATTATCTGCACAGATGTATTGTACCAGAGACCATATCGGTATTTGGTATATAGGTATATGGTCTCTGATTGTATGCAGCACATCCCTATAGCTGTGTTGTACTCACGGATATTATCTCTTTGTACTCTTGTTTTGTAATGGGCCGGAGGCCTTAAGTACAATAAAACCTCTTAAACATCTTGATCTACACGCAGTTCCCTCTGCTGGTTGAACGGGGCTATTTCCCGGACCGTGTAGTCAATGACAAGCGTGTCAAAGATGATAATAATAATCACTGGATTGTCTGGTCCAGATTATTTACAAGCCGCTGCATATAGCTGGAATACTGCTGAGTGTGGCGTTAATCAACAAACACACATCGCACAAGACACAATACACAACGCACAACGCACAACGCGCAACACACATTGCTCAACGCTCAACGCACAAGGCAAAAGGCACAGCCAACACGGCTACATCTAGTTGTTCCACAGGTCCGCCATCATTACACTGGTTTGTGACAAGTCGGTTGAGGGCACACTCAAAGCTGTGGGGGAAAAACCAGCTAAGAGCGGGAAATATGTAAGTTCTTCCCATTGTACATTTCTCAGTGACTAGGTCAGGTTCAACGCATCTTTGGTGGAATGGTCAGACTCGCTGACTTGGTTGATGCATGACATCCATCCCAATTGCCTGGATCGATGCTCATGATGTCAATCACTGGATTGTCTGGTCCAGACTCGATTATTTACGGACCGCCGTCATATAGCTGGAATATTGCTGAGTGCGGCGTTTAACACCAAACCAAACCCCCAAATATCAGCGCATCTTTGAACTGTCGTGATTCAAAACGTGTGAGGGAAGTATTGATGCGGGAAAAACGCCAAACGTGTTTCAGATCGTGCTATGTTAAATATTTGGTAAAAGCTATGATAACGGATATTGCGTTGACAATCTATGGATATTTCCAACATGAAACAACGGATCCCCGCATATCCAAGGGACGTAACTGTTCAAAGTTATTAAACCGCTATCTTAAACCACTATCTTAAACCACTTGGTGTCTGGAACTACTAAACTAAACCATGTTTTGTATTAACCAGGTGAGCAGCAGGGCCGTTATATTATATTTCCTTTTTAAACTGTGTTCAAACAGCTGATGACTCTCACCAGTAAGTACGCCTGTGAATCTACAGGCGGAACCGTTACAGTCACCTACAGTCTCTCTGTAGGAAGCATCCTCGTTATAGCGTGAGTATACAGTGGGAAGCATCATCCTCCACTATAAGACATTTTATTGCAATAACAATGTTTTAATAATGTCAGCCAGTAAAGTTCACACGTGATACAGTAGATTTCAGGCGGGTAATACAACCACAGGTATAGATTAAACGCTCTGTTGTACTACCCGCGGAGCTCGACCCCTTCCCCCTGGCGTTTATGGGGGAAGGTTGGTGTCGCTCCGACAACTTTCTTTGCTCCTTCCGCCTATTCATAAATGATGCAAATGAGCAGCCATTTTCACGCGGTGTACGCCAAAGACATTTTCGTTTCTAAACCACGGAGTAATCCACGATCGATTGGATTCCCCGCGCGCATTATTGAAAGCGAAGAGTTTTCCGAATCTGTGCATGCGCAATAGCAATGAGAAAGTGCTGTATTTGGTCCATTCGTCACCACTCGCCCCTTTCCGTCAGCTGCAAGAAGACTCGTCCTCATAACGATGAATGTTATGTGCGATTACCACAAACCAATCAAAATGCGCGTATCTTCGGTCAAAGAATCCCTCAGGAATAACTTTTGGTTTTACATATGTCTTGCATCTACAAATATACCCACGATACAGTTAAATGTGTCAAATCATACAATATAGTACCACATATCCCGATGTGCTTTAAGTTGCATCTGAAATATATGTAATATAGGGGGAAATATACGTGAATAAATATGCAACGAGTTTACAAATCTTTTGGCTCCGCCCCTTTGCGCTTAGACGGAACCCGGTCGCAAAAATGGCCACGAGAGGGGCACGAGTACTAGTCGCTATCCAGCTTTTCCCGGAATATCACGAGCTGGTCACGAATGGTATTTGTCCTTCTACGAATGCGTTACTTCGCGGAATGTTTATATCCTGTGTCTTGTAAACATTTTCATACCACTATACTGGTTTCAATTCAGATTGATGTGAATGCACCCTACCCTAGTGTAATTACTAGATCACCAATGTGCTGTTCCCAGGGTGGTGGTGTTGTCTGTCGTGTATGCCGTTGGCGGTGTCTCTATACAGAAGTTTGTGAGGAAAGCGGAGGGCAAGGAAATCATCCCCAATCTCAACTTCTGGTCCAGTATCCCCGGCCTCATCAAGGTAGGTTTGCCTGATGTCGCACATCTATATCTCCTACACCATCAAGGGGGCACGGGTGGCCCAGTCGTCTATGGCGCCGCGATTCGCTGTGCAGAGTTGCGTCCCTTGGGCACGCCAGAAACCTATGATTGTGGGTTCGAATCCCGGTTCGCCCCGATTATGTTTCTAGGTTTGTCAGCACCATACCCGTGCTCGTGGGTTTCACCGAAGTGGTTAACGTCTGAGACCTGCATCACTTCGGGCTTTCCTCCCACACTAAGCTGACACGCCCCGTTATAACTGGAAAAGCGGCGCCAAACCCAACTCACTCACTCCTACACCGTCAACAAATCCTTCAATCAGTCGTGACGCTGCGACTGTTTCAATTCAAAAGGACCGTTACGAACACATGGGGCATTGTGATTATCCGCCATTAATGTTTAACATAAGACGCGTTCATCTCAGTATATGCTTACTCATATGAGATATATATCTTTGGGTTTGCAAATATTGTTTTAAAAAATCTAAATACATTTAATTTGCCATTATACAATATTGGTTTCGTGGTAAAACATCACGTCTCGGCTCTCAGAAGCCTATTGTGTTTGATGTATTGGAGGTCGAAAGATTAGCTAACTTACCCTACATTTTATGAAATATTCAGACTGAATCAGACCTACGTCAGACTTACTACAGACTTGCTACAGACCGACGTCAGACCTACCACAGACGTACTCTAGACATATACAGACCTTTTTCAGATGTACTACAGACTTTCTTCATACTTACAAAAGACCCACTACAGACCAACTACAGACCTACATAAACTTACTACATACCTACGTCAGACCTACTTTAAACATACTACAGAACTACTTCAGACTTACTGCAAACCTACATTAGACTTACTACAGAACTACTTTAGACTTACTGCAAACCTACATTAGGCTTACAGCAGAGCTACATTAGGCTTACAGCAGACCTACTTCAGACTTATAACATACCTACCACAGACTTACTACAGACCTACATTAGACTTACTGCAGAGCTACTTTATACTTACTCCAAACCTACATTAGGCTTACAGCAGACCTACATTATACTTACTGCAAACCTACATTAGGCTTACTGCAGACCTACATTAGACTTACTGCAAACCTACATTAGGCTTACTGCAGACCTACATTAGACTTACTGCAGACCTACATTAGGCTTACTGCAAACCTACATTAGACTTACTGCAAACCTACATTAGGCTTACTGCAGACCTACATTAGACTTACTGCAAACCTACATTAGGCTTACTGCAGACCTACATTAGACTTACTGCAGACCTACATTAGGCTTACTGCAAACCTACATTAGGCTTACTGCAAACCTACATTAGACTTACTGCAGAGCTACTTTAGACTTACTGCAGAGCTACTTTATACTTACTCCAAACCTACATTAGGCTTACAGCAAACCTACATTATACTTACTGCAGAGCTACTTTAGACTTACTGCAGAGCCACTTTAGACTTACAACAGACCTAAATTAGACTTACTGCAAACCTACATTGGACTTACTAAAGAACTACTTTAGACTTACTGCAAACCTACATTAGGCTTACTGCAGACCTACATTAGACTTACTGCAGAGCCACTTTAGACTTACAACAGACCTACATTAGACTTACCGTAGACCTACATTAGACTTACTGCAGACCTACATTAGACTTACTACAGACCTAGATTAGACTTACTGCAGAGCCACTTTAGACTTACAACAGACCTACATTAGACTTACCGTAGACCTACATTAGACTTACTGCAGACCTACATTAGACTTACTGCAGACCTACATTAGACTTACTGCAGACCTAGATTAGACTTACTGCAGACCTTTATTAGACTAACTACATACCTACATTAGGCTTACTGCAGACCTACATTACACTTACTGCAGAGATACATTAGACTTACTACAGACCTATATTTGACTTTCTGCAGAGCTACATTAGACTTACTACAGACTTACATTAGCCTTACTACAGACCTACATTAGACTTACTACAGACCTACATTAGACTTACTGCAGACCTACATTAGACTTACTGCAGACCTAGATTAGACTTACTGCAGACCTTTATTAGACTAACTACATACCTACATTAGGCTTACTGCAGACCTACATTAGACTTACTGCAGAGATACATTAGACTTACTACAGACCTATATTTGACTTACTGCAGAGCTACATTAGACTTACTACAGACTTACATTAGCCTTACTGCAGAGCTACATTAGACTTACGGCAGAGCTACTTTAGACTTACTGCAGAGCTACATTAGACTTACGGCAGAGCTACTTTAGACTTACTACAGACTTACATTAGCCTTACTGCAGAGCTACATTAGACTTACGGCAGAGCTACTTTAGACTTACTACAGACTTACATTAGCCTTACTGCAGAGCTACATTAGACTTACGGCAGAGCTTCTTTAGACTTACTGCAGAGCTACATTAGACTTACGGCAGAGCTACTTTAGACTTACTGCAGAGCTACTTTAGACTTACTGCAGAGCTACTTTAGACTAACTGCTTACCTTAGAATGATATAAATTACACCTCAAGTTATTTTCATGGTACCAGTTGAGCACGATTGTAGCAGAATTTCTGCTGTTAATAATAACTTTCAAAGAGTAAAGTTGCAATTCTATATACATGTGCATTGTGTTGGCGACCGATGCACGAGTTATCTCCCTTCCACTGCAGGGCGGCGTGCTCTTCACTGTACGGTGTGGCAAGGTCAGCCGGTACGACCAGATCTGAGGCCTGTGTTGGCTGTCGTCTTCAAGATGTCTGTGTTGGTCGGTCACGAGCAGTCTCATCATTTACACGACCGGGTCACATAATATGAGTGACACTCTTACAGCAGAGAATACATGGTGTGATTGTTATTGTGTTTTGTCGAGTTTTGTATATGTCAAAATGTGACATTCGAATATGTATTCACATTGGAAGTTCCGCAAGTCGAGGAGGCCTCGTTTTGATTCAGGACATGAATATTAATGAGCAAACGACCCCCTTCCAGCCTGCCGATGACGTTATAATAGTTTGTTCTTCGTATGGACTTCGCAGTGCAATTAATTGTTTCCAGTATAGATCATTTATTAAATTGTTTGTTTGAAAACGGTGCGTGTTTATGTTGTCTGTCATATGCATATCTCACACAATTCGTTGACCGCCTCTGTGGTGTAGAGGATAGAGCGTGTTTGGTGAGATGTTATAAAATGGTATGTATGTACAATGTACAAACACATGCGCGCGCGCACGCACGATCACCAAACACACACACACACACACACACACACACACATGCACGTCTATATAGTAGTGGCATAATCTTGAAAGCGACGTTTAACTTTGTCCATTTCCGTAACCTGCATGAAGAATTGGGATGGGTTGTACTTTAACTAATGGACACTATCTGACAATGTGACTGGCTGAATGTACATTCGCCATTGTGACTAGCTGACACATTATGACGCAACTACTTTTCATTAATTCGCAAATCTACAACTAGCCACAGGATCAGTACCACAAAGTTAAGAAACATCACCCCACCCATTAGAAACCCCGGATTCCTATAAACCGTGGAAGCAGACAACAGACAGCAGACATGGACGGACTGCTCGTGAGATACAGCGCATGCGTCGAGTCGACGGGTCGCATGGACCAATACACGTAGAGCATCCACTTGCCCTGCGAATGTAAACAAACAATGAGTAAGTGAGTATGGTTTTACGCCGCTGTGAGCAATATCGCAGAAATACCCCGGCAGGGGACACCATACATGGGAATCGAACCCTGTGCCCCGGCGTGACGAGGGAACGCGTTCACCACTAGGATATCATCACTGCTAAGGCAGCCGACACATACTTCTTCGTCTTGGTGTTTAAGATAGTTTAAAACTTCTGTTGAAAAAACAGTGTCCCCAGCTGAAATTAGGATTTAACAATTCTTTAAAGAAATCCCCCCATGCTTCAGGTGCAATCGTAGACTACCGAACGACTCGTTAAGTATTTTTTCACAAGTCTCCAGAAAGATGTACAATTCTTATCATTTGCTGCATCACATATACTCGTAGTTACTGAAAGTTTAAAGTTAATCTTCTTTTCATTACATAAAGCTTTGAACTTATTTCTAGCTTCTTTAAATAATTTATAATTTTCTTGAGAGGAATATTTTCTAAATACATTCAATTTTTTATATTTCTCTCGTTTGGACTCCTCATAATTTCGATCAAACCATTCCGGCTGTCATAGAGATAAGCTATTAGACTGCCTTATCTTCATATCTGTCCCACAGAAATGTAAAATGTGTTGTAATTTCTCCACTGCATTTTTAACCTCTGAATATACACACTTTGTGAAATCATCAAACATGTCTTGTACTATACTACTATTAATATTGCTGGAATAAGTTACTGATTTATTCACATCTTTCCTCCACACAACTACCATCTAGCGTTGGTCGCTGGTTTTAATCAATTAGAGAGGAAAACGTGGCACACAACGGTAGATGATCTGATTAAGTTCGTGATACAACATTAAAATCTTCACATGGTCATAGATACATGCTGACACGCAAATGTAATCTGGTGTACTGTAACGTGGTGTACTGTAATCTAGTGTACTGTAACCTGGTGTACTGTAACCTGGTGTACTGTAATCCGGTGTACTGTAACCTGGTGTACTGTGACCTGGTGTACTGTAACCTGGTGTACTGTAACCTGGTGTACTGTAGCCTGGTGTACTGTAACCTTGTGTACTGTGACCTGATGTACTGTAAACCTGGTGTACTGTAACCTGGTGTACTGTAGCCTGGTGTACTGTAATCTGGTGTACTGTTACCTGGTGTACTGTGACCTGGTGTACAGTAATCTGGTGTACTATAACCTGGTGTACTGTAACCTGGTGTACTGTAATCTAGTGTACTGTAACCTGGTGTACTGTAACCTGGTGTACTGTTACCTGGTGTACTGTGACCTGGTGTACAGTAATCTGGTGTACTATAACCTGGTGTACTGTAACCTGGTGTACTGTAATCTAGTGTACTGTAACATGGTGTACTGTAACCTGGTGTACTGTAGCCTGGTGTACTGTAATCTAGTGTACTGTAATCTGATGTACTGTAACCTGGTGTACTGTAACCTGGTGTACTGTAGCCTGGTGTACTGTAATCTTGTGTACTGTTACCTGGTGTACTGTAATCTGGTGTACTGTAACCTGATGTACTGTAACCTGGTGTACTGTAACCTGATGTACTGTAATCTAGTGTACTGTAACCTGGTGTACTGTAACCCGATGTACTGTAACCTGATGTACTGTAATCCGGTGTACTGTAACCTGGTGTACTGTAATCTGGTGTACTATAACCTGGTGTACTGTAATCTAGTGTACTGTAATCTAGTTTACTGTAACCTGGTGTACTGTAACCTGGTGTACTGTAATCTTGTGTACTGTAACCTGGTGTACTGTAACCTGGTGTAATGTAATCTGGTGTACTATAACCTGGTGTACTGTAACCTGGTGTACTGTAACCTGGTGTACTGTAATCTAGTGTACTGTAACCTGGTGTACTGTAACCTGGTGTACTGTAGCCTGGTGTACTGTAATCTAGTGTACTGTTACCTGGTGTACTGCAACCTGGTGTACTGTAATCTAGTGTACTGTAATCTAGTGTACTGTAACCTGGTGTACTGTAACCTGGTGTACTGTAATCTAGTGTACTGTAACCTGGTGTACTGTAACCTGGTGTACTGTGACCTGATGTACTGTAACCTGGTGTACAGTAATCTGGTGTACTGTAACCTGGGGTACTGTAACCTGGTGTACTGTAATCTGGTGTACTTTAATCTGGTGTACTGTAACCTGGTGTACTGTAACCTGGTGTACTGTAATCTGGTGTACTGTTACCTGGTGTACTGTAATCTAGTGTACTGTAATCTGGTGTACTGTTACCTGTTGTACTGTAATCTGGTGTACTGTAACCTGATGTACTGTAATCTGGTGTACTGTTACCTGGTGTACTGTAATCTAGTGTACTGTAATCTGGTGTTCTGTTACCTGTTGTACTGCAATCTGGTGTACTGTAACCTGGTGTACTGTAACCTGGTGTACTGTAATCTGGTGTACTGTTACGTGGTGTACTGTAATCTAGTGTACTGTAATCCGGTGTACTGTTACCTGTTGTACTGTAATCTGGTGTACTGTTACCTGGTGTACTGTAATCTAGTGTACTGTAATCTGGTGTACTGTTACCTGGTGTACTGTAACCTGGTGTACTGTTTCCTGTTTTACTGTAACCCGAAGCACCAACATATGTAAAGTCACCTTCATCTGAGTGTCTTTCATTTAGTACGTACAAGCCAAAGGTTTTACACATTTCCAGGAAATCTCTGCAATAACTATTTCCAACCAGATCTCTATTCTTGCGTGTAGCATACTTAGTATATAAATAGTTATTGCAGAGATTTCCTGGAAATGTGTAAAACCTTTGGCTTGTACGTACTAAATGAAAGACACTCAGATGAAGGTGACTTTACATATGTTGGTGCTTCGGGTTACAGTAAAACAGGAAACAGTACACCAGGTTACAGTACACCAGGTAACAGTACACCAGATTACAGTACACTAGATTACAGTACACCAGGTAACAGTACACCAGATTACAGTACAACAGGTAACAGTACACCGGATTACAGTACACCAGGTAACAGTACACAAGATTACAGTACACCAGGCTACAGTACACCAGGTTACAGTAAACTAGATTACAGTACACTAGATTACAGTACACCAGGTTATAGTACACCAGATTACAGTACACCAGGTTACAGTACACCGGATTACAGTACATCAGGTTACAGTACATCAGGTTACAGTACACCAGGTTACAGTACACTAGATTACAGTACATCAGGTTACAGTACACCAGGTTACAGTACATCAGGTTACAGTACACCAGATTACAGTACACCAGGTAACAGTACACAAGATTACAGTACACCAGGCTACAGTACACCAGGTTACAGTACACCAGGTTACAGTACATCAGATTACAGTACACTAGATTACAGTACACCAGGCTACAGTACACCAGGTTACAGTACACCATGTTACAGTACACTAGATTACAGTACACCAGGTTACAGTACACCAGGTTATAGTACACCAGATTACTGTACACCAGGTCACAGTACACCAGGTAACAGTACACCAGGTTACAGTACACCAGGTTACAGTACACTAGATTACAGTACACCAGGTTACAGTACACCAGGTTATAGTACACCAGATTACTGTACACCAGGTCACAGTACACCAGGTAACAGTACACCAGATTACAGTACACCAGGCTACAGTACACCAGGTTACAGTACACCAGGTTTACAGTACATCAGGTCACAGTACACAAGGTTACAGTACACCAGGCTACAGTACACCAGGTTACAGTACACCAGGTTACAGTACACCAGGTCACAGTACACCAGGTTACAGTACACCGGATTACAGTACACCAGGTTACAGTACACCAGGTTACAGTACACTAGATTACAGTACACCACGTTACAGTACACCAGATTACATTTGCGTGTCAGCATGTATCTATGACCATGTGAAGATTTTAATGTTGTATCACGAACTTAATCAGATCATCTACCGTTGTGTGCCACGTTTTCCTCTCTAATTGATTAAAACCAGCGACCAACGCTAGATGGTAGTTGTGTGGAGGAAAGATGTGAATAAATCAGTAACTTATTCCAGCAATATTAATAGTAGTATAGTACAAGACATGTTTGATGATTTCACAAAGTGTGTATATTCAGAGGTTAAAAATGCAGTGGAGAAATTACAACACATTTTACATTTCTGTGGGACAGATATGAAGATAAGGCAGTCTAATAGCTTATCTCTATGACAGCCGGAATGGTTTGATCGAAATTATGAGGAGTCCAAACGAGAGAAATATAAAAAATTGAATGTATTTAGAAAATATTCCTCTCAAGAAAATTATAAATTATTTAAAGAAGCTAGAAATAAGTTCAAAGCTTTATGTAATGAAAAGAAGATTAACTTTAAACTTTCAGTAACTACGAGTATATGTGATGCAGCAAATGATAAGAATTGTACATCTTTCTGGAGACTTGTGAAAAAATACTTAACGAGTCGTTCGGTAGTCTACGATTGCACCTGAAGCATGGGGGGATTTCTTTAAAGAATTGTTAAATCCTAATTTCAGCTGGGGACACTGTTTTTTCAACAGAAGTTTTAAACTATCTTAAACACCAAGACGAAGAAGTATGTGTCGGCTGCCTTAGCAGTGATGATATCCTAGTGGTGAACGCGTTCCCTCGTCACGCCGGGGCACAGGGTTCGATTCCCATGTATGGTGTCCCCTGCCGGGGTATTTCTGCGATATTGCTCACAGCGGCGTAAAACCATACTCACTTACTCATTGTTTGTTTACATTCGCAGGGCAAGTGGATGCTCTACGTGTATTGGTCCATGCGACCCGTCGACTCGACGCATGCGCTGTATCTCACGAGCAGTCCGTCCATGTCTGCTGTCTGTTGTCTGCTTCCACGGTTTATAGGAATCCGGGGTTTCTAATGGGTGGGGTGATGTTTCTTAACTTTGTGGTACTGATCCTGTGGCTAGTTGTAGATTTGCGAATTAATGAAAAGTAGTTGCGTCATAATGTGTCAGCTAGTCACAATGGCGAATGTACATTCAGCCAGTCACATTGTCAGATAGTGTCCATTAGTTAAAGTACAACCCATCCCAATTCTTCATGCAGGTTACGGAAATGGACAAAGTTAAACGTCGCTTTCAAGATTATGCCACTACTATATAGACGTGCATGTGTGTGTGTGTGTGTGTGTGTGTGTGTGTGTTTGTTTGGTGATCGTGCGTGCGCGCGCGCATGTGTGTGAACATTGTACATACATACCATTTTATAACATCTCACCAAACACGCTCTATCCTCTACACCACGGAGGCGGTCAACGAATTGTGTGAGATATGCATATGACAGGCAACATAAACACGCACCCTTTTCAAACAAACAATTTAATAAATGATCTATACTGGAAACAATTAATTGCACTGCGAGGTCCATACGAAGAACAAACTATTATGACGTCATCGGCAGGCTGGAAGGGGGTCGTTTGCTCATTAATATTCATGTCCTGAATCAAAACGAGGCCTCCTCGACTTGCGGAACATCCAATGTGAATACATATTCGAATGTCACACTTTGACGTATACAAAACACGACAAAACACAATAACAATCACACCATGTATTCTCTGCTGTAAGAGTGTCACTCATATTATGTGACCCGGTCGTGTAAATGATGAGACTGCTCGTGACCGACCAACACAGACATCTTGAAGATGACAGCCAACACAGGCCTCAGATCTGGTCGTACCGGCTGACCTTGCCACACCGTACAGTGAAGAGCACGCCGCCCTGCAGTGGAAGGGAGATAACTCGTGCATCGGTCGCCAACACAATGTACATGTATATAGAACTGCAACTTTACTCTTTGAAAGTTATTATTAACAGCAGAAATTCTGCTACAATCGTGCTCAACTGGTACCATGAAAATAACTTGAGGTGTAATTTATATCATTCTAAGGTAAGCAGTTAGTCTAAAGTAGCTCTGCAGTAAGTCTAAAGTAGCTCTGCAGTAAGTCTAAAGTAGCTCTGCCGTAAGTCTAATGTAGCTCTGCAGTAAGTCTAAAGTAGCTCTGCCGTAAGTCTAATGTAGCTCTGCAGTAAGGCTAATGTAAGTCTGTTGTAAGTCTAATGTAGCTCTGCAGTAAGTCAAATATAGGTCTGTAGTAAGTCTAATGTATCTCTGCAGTAAGTCTGATGTAGGTCTGCAGTAAGCCTAATGTAGGTATGTAGTTAGTCTAATAAAGGTCTGCAGTAAGTCTAATCTAGGTCTGCAGTAAGTCTAATGTAGGTCTGTTGTAAGTCTAATGTAGGTCTGTAGTAAGTCCAATGTAGGTCAGCAGTAAGTCTAATGTAGGTCTACGGTAAGTCTAATGTAGGTCTGTTGTAAGTCTAAAGTGGCTCTGCAGTAAGTCTAATCTAGGTCTGTAGTAAGTCTAATGTAGGTCTGCAGTAAGTCTAATGTAGGTCTACGGTAAGTCTAAAGTAGTTCTGTAGTAAGTCCAATGTAGGTTTGCAGTAAGTCTAATGTAGGTCTTTTGTAAGTCTAAAGTGGCTCTGCAGTAAGTCTAAAGTAGCTCTGCAGTAAGTATAATGTAGGTTTGCTGTAAGCCTAATGTAGGTTTGCAGTAAGTCTAAAGTAGCTCTGCTGTAAGCCTAATGTAGCTCTGCTGTAAGCCTAATGTAGGTTTGCAGTAAGTCTAATGTAGGTCTGCAGTAAGTCTAATGTAGGTCTGTAGTAAGCCTAATGTAGGTTTGCAGTAAGTCTAAAGTAGTTCTGTAGTAAGTCTAATGTAGGTTTGCAGTAAGTCTAATGTAGGTCTGTAGTACGTCTGTGGTAGGTATGTTATAAGTCTGAAGTAGGTCTGCTGTAAGCCTAATGTAGCTCTGCTGTAAGCCTAATGTAGGTTTGCAGTAAGTCTAATGTAGGTCTGCTGTAAGCCTAATGTAGGTTTGCAGTAAGTCTAAAGTAGTTCTGTAGTAAGTCTAATGTAGGTTTGCAGTAAGTCTAATGTAGGTCTGTAGTACGTCTGTGGTAGGTATGTTATAAGTCTGAAGTAGGTCTGCTGTAAGCCTAATGTAGCTCTGCTGTAAGCCTAATGTAGGTTTGCAGTAAGTCTAAAGTAGTTCTGCAGTAAGTCTAATGTAGGTTTGCAGTAAGTCTAAAGTAGTTCTGTAGTATGTTTAAAGTAGGTCTGTAGCAAGCCTGAGGTTGGTCTCTGTAGTAGGTCTGACGTAGGTATGTAGTAAGTTTATGTAGGTCTGTAGTTGGTCTGAAGTGGGTCTTTTGTAAGTATGAAGAAAGTCTGTAGTACATCTGAAAAAGGTCTGTATATGTCTAGAGTACGTCTGTGGTAGGTCTGACGTCGGTCTGTAGCAAGTCTGTAGTAAATCTGACGTAGGTCTGATTCAGTCTGAATATTTCATAAAATGTAGGGTAAGTTAGCTAATCTTTCGACCTCCAATACATCAAACACAATAGGCTTCTGAGAGCCTAGACGTGGTGTTTAACCCACGAAACCAATATTGTATAATGGCAAATTAAATGTAATTTAGATTTTTTAAAACAATATTTCCAAACCCAAAGATATATATCTCATATGAGTAAGCATATACTGAGATGAACGCGTCTTATGTTAAACATTAATGCCGGATAATCACAATGTCCCATGTGTTCGTAACGGTCCTTTTGAATTGAAACAGTCGCAGCGTCACGACTGATTGAAGGATTTGTTGACGGTGTAGGAGTGAGTGAGTTGGGTTTGGCGCCGCTTTTAACAATATTCCAGTTATAACGGGGCGTGTCAGCTTAGTGTGGGAGGAAAGCCCGAAGTGATGCAGGTCTCAGACGTTTACCACTTCGGTGAAACCCACGAGCACGGGTATGGTGCTGACAAACCTAGAAACATAATCGGGGCGAACCGGGATTCGAACCCACAATCATAGGTTTCTGGCGTGCCCAAGGGACGCAACTCTGCACAGCGAATCACGGCGCCATAGACGACTGGGCCACCCGTGCCCCCTTGATGGTGTAGGAGATATAGATGTGCGACATCAGGCAAACCTACCTTGATGAGGCCGGGGATACTGGACCAGAAGTTGAGATTGGGGATGATTTCCTTGCCCTCCGCTTTCCTCACAAACTTCTGTATAGAGACACCGCCAACGGCATACACGACAGACAACACCACCACCCTGGGAACAGCACATTGGTGATCTAGTAAATACACTAGGGTAGGGTGCATTCACATCAATCTGAATTGAAACCTGTATAGTGGTATGAAAATGTTTACAAGACACCGGATATAAACATTCCGCGAAGTAACGCATTCGTAGAAGGACAAATACCATTCGTGACCAGCTCGATATATTCCGGGAAAAGCTGGATAGCGACTCGTGCCCCTCTCGTGGCCATTTTTGCGACCGGGTTCCGTCTAAGCGCAAAGGGGCGGAGCCAAAAGATTTGTAAACTCGTTGCATATTTATTCACGTATATTTCCCCCTATATTACATATATTTCAGATGCAACTTAAAGCACATCGGGATATGTGGTACTATATTGTATGATTTGACACATTTAACTGTATCGTGGGTATATTTGTAGATGCAAGACATATGTAAAACCAAAAGTTATTCCTGTGGGATTCTTTGACCGAAGATACGCGCATTTTGATTGGTTTGTGGTAATCGCACATAACATTCATCGTTAGGAGGACGAGTCTTCTTGAAGCTGACGGAAAGGGGCGAGTGGTGACGAATGGGCCAAATACAGCACTTTCTCATTGCTATTGCGCATGCACAGCTTCGGAAAACTCTTCGCTTTCAATAATGCGCGCGGGGAATCCAATCGATCGTAGTTTACTCCGTGGTTTAGAAACGAAAATGTCTTTGGCGTAAAACGCGTGAAAATGGCTGCTCATTTGCATCATTTATGAATAGGCGGAAGGAGCAAAGAAAGTTGTCGGAGCGACACCAACCTTCCCCCATAAACGCCAAGGGGAAGGGGTCGAGCTCCGCGGGTAGCTAGTACAAGCAGAGCGTTTAATCCATACCTGTGGTTGTATTACCCGCCTAAAATCTACTGTATCACGTGTGAACTTTACTGGCTGACATTATTAAAACATTGTTATTGCAATAAAATGTCTTATAGTGGAGGATGATGCTTCCCACTGTATACTCACGCTATAACGAGGATGCTTCCTACAGAGAGACTGTAGGTGACCGTAACGGTTCCGCCGGTAGATTCGCAGGCGTACTTACTGGTGAGAGTCATCAGCTGGTTCAACACAGTTTAAAGAGGAAATATAATATTACGGCACTGCAGCTCACCTGGTTATTACAATACATGGTTTAGTTTAGTAGTTCCAGACACCAAATGGTTTAAGATAGTGGTTTAATAACTTAGAAGAGTTACGTCCCTTGGATATGCGGGGATCCGTTGTTTCATGTTGGAAATCCCGATTCTTATCCATAGATTGTCAACGCAATATCCGTTATCATAGCTTTTACCAATATTTAACATAGCACGATCTGAAACACGTTTGGCATTTTTCCCTCAAATTTTCGAGTCTGGACCAGACAAGCCAGTGATTGACCTCATGAGCATAGATCCACGCAATTGGGATGGATGTCATGCATCAACCAAGTCAGCGAGCCTGACCATTCAACCAAAGATGCGTTGAACCCAACCTAGTCACTGAGAAATGTACGAATGGGAAGGACTTACGTATTTTCCGCTCTTAGCTGGTTTTTCCCCCACAGCTTTGAGTGTGCCCTCAACCGACTTGTCACAAACCAGTGTAATGATGGCGGACCTGCGGAACAACTAGATGTAGCCGTGTGCGCTGTGCCTTGTGCGTTGTGTGTTGTGTGTGGCGCGTTGTGTGTTGTGCGTTGTGTGTTGTGTGCTGTGTCTTGCGTCTTGTGCGATGTGCGTTTGTTGATTAACGCCACACTCAGCAATATTCCAGCTATATCCAATTCTGTACCTCCATGTTCCCAAATCAATTCCCATACTTCCGGATACTTCCGTTTTTTTCCCTTAATGTCGGCACTACACTGTTAATATTGAGGGACAAATCAACAATTTTACGCCTCCGTCAAAAACCACTGTCCACCTTGTGAAGGGCGGGTAACTCTCTCTACCTGTAACGTATCACCGTGATCTGTTTCCTGGTTGTAGATACCCGAACCGCCATTCCTTCTATGTTTCAATATATTCTGAACTTCTATGTTACTTTTGAGTCATTTACATATTGCAACGATCTTATCTGAATAAATGTCCACTAAACCACAGATATATGATGAAACATTGGTACATGCACTGTACTTGTTCACATCGTAGGCTAAGCGAGGTGAGGTGAAATGGGGTTGAACATCGCGTCCAAGATTATTGCACTTATATAGCGACCGTGTGTGTGTGTGTGTGTGTGTGTGGCTGCTTATACTAGTCCGGACTGATGCCGATTTATAGTGCTAGCTCACTGAGATACCATGCCGCAGTTTAACATGAATACCCCACTCAGACACAGTATACTTACTCCAAGCCTAGCAGTCTTTGTTTTTGCGCCTTACTACCAAGCCCCGGACAGGGTAACAACAAGTACCATATTTTAACGTCTTTTGGTATGACGCGGCCGGGGATCGAGCTCCGGACAATCCGCTCTACCACTAGACTACGGAGGCGGTCGTAGGCTTTAAGGAAGAAGAGGACGCTACTGAAAGGGTACAATTAACTAACGAGGTACATGTTATTATCAGATAAGTGATTTCGGGTTCTGTATTTCAGTATCTAAATGTCACGTGTCGTGTGGGTACAAAGTGTATCGTGACAAAGTGGGCACAGCAGCAAGGTGCACATGTATTGATGTTGAGTTGATTATCATTCGACTCAATCAAATTTCTTAATTTATTTTCCCTGCTGTTGTATAAGACGGGGTTTTTAAACTCTTGACCGTAGTTGTAGTAGTGGTGGTGGTAGCAGTAGTAGTAGTAATGGTGGAGGTAGTAGTAGTAGTAGTTGTAGTAGTAGTAGTAGTAGTAGTATAGGAGTAGTAGCACTAGTGGTTCCGGCAATAGTAGTAGTAGTAGTAGTTGTAGAAGTAGTAGTAGTGGTGGTGGTGGTGGCAGTAGTAATAATAGTAATAGTAGTAATAGTAGTAGTAGTAGTAGTAGTGGTAGCAGTAGTAGTAGTTGTTGTTGTTGTCATGCTCATGCTTAGATGAATATGTCTGCGAAGTCACGAGAAAACAATTAACGGAACAAATAACATGATTTTATTTCATTTCTGTCAACAAAGGGTTGTTCCTGTAAACAGCATCAATACTACTTCCGGTCTCCACTGGAGGATAGTCAGGTGTCATCATAGATTCCAAACAACATCAGACACACTAGGCGGTGTCAAGACATCAGACACACTAGGCTGTGTCAAGACATCAGACACACTAGGCGGTGTCAAGACATCAGACACTAGGCTGTGTCAAGACATCAGACACTAGGCTGTGTCAAGACATCAGACACACTAGGCTGTGTCAAGACATCAGACACTAGGCTGTGTCAAGACATCAGACACTAGGCTGTGTCAAGACATCAGACACACTAGGCTGTGTCAAGACATCAGACACACTAGGTTGTGTCAAGACATCAGACACTAGGCTGTGTCAAGACATCAGACACACTAGGTTGTGTCAAGACATCAGACACATTAGGCTGTGTCAAGACATCAGACACACTAGGTTGTGTCTTGTGACTTCGGATCAGTAGCTTTAACATCCTTCACATTTCTCTTCTTGCACCGATGTATCGAGGGTGAGCGTATGCATATTGACATACTTACAATATCATAGTCCTTCCAAACTATTTTAACAAACATTAAACTATAAGGCATCAGTTAGTGTCCAACTATGTGCGCTTAGGTGTGGTAAAAAAACCCAGAAAAAATCAAATTGAATGACAAAATTCACCATATCTATAATATGAACACAGTCTTATGAAAAAGAACAAAATATTATTATCAAATAAAAGATTGTAACACGAATTTCTGCTACATTGTTGCTGACAACAAACACTTGTTGAATGGAATTCGAAGCCCTGAAATCACATTCACAGCGTAAGAACACTTTTCTTGATAAGAATTTTCTTTTCAATCCAAAATGTGACGAGCGTCCATTCGGCTTGTCGAAATGGATACCAAGTTATTATATTTTAATAGTAAACGATATTTATCAGAACAACTTGGATTTATTTGATTGTATACATATTGCTAACCATCGGATTATTATTCGCATCTCAAGAATGTTATATTTTACCTCAAATTATCTCAAAATTGCAAATTGACAATGTTTGCGTGATCAGTTCAATTTACGTGGTAGCTATTTTGCGACAAATCAAAATTGATAAAAAATACGAATATTGTGCATTCTACAGATTCTTTTTAGAAAGGTGTGTTGGTATATATCTTTAATTATAGCTGCATTGTAAACAAGGAAAATTCACCAAAAGACTCTGTCCATTACAGTGTATCAAACAATGATGCCATGATGTATGTACGTGTCCTCAACAAAAGAAAGTATACATTTGGTCATTCATATATCAAATGTATATGATGTCAACGTGTGTTGTACAATGGTTCAATTTGCCTTTATACAAATAAAATGTCCTGATGACCATTGGTTTTGAATTTAATGTACATCAGACAAGTAGCACTATTTACAGCAAACGGTTTAGCACTATATACAGGAAAACTACAACAACATTCTCTCCACGAGAGTCAGTGGAGGAATTGTATCGAACAACCACGTTGAGCGTCTTGAGATCACAGATACACCACACTCCATTGAAGAATCTGAAATATGTATCAGTATATTAGTGATGGCGTAAATACAACATATGCATCCAGTCTGGAATAACAAACACGTTATTTGTTCACGTGAGCTGCTAACATTTCTCCCTCCTTACGGCTCACCTATTCCCCCCCACCCATCCCTCCTATGCCCCACACCACCCTCCCACACCTGCCCCACACACCCCTCCAACCCATCCCCCACCTCTCCATCCACGTCTGCCCCACACCACCCTCCCACACCTGCCCCACACACCCCTCCAACCCATCCCCCACCTCTCCATCCACGTCTGCCCCACACCACCCTCCCACACATGCCCCACCTCTCCATCCAACCCATCCCCCACCTCTCCATCCATCTATGCCCCACACACCCCTCCCACACATGCCCCAACTCTCCATCCACCTATACCCCACCTCTCTTTCCATCTATGCCCTACCTCTCCTCCCACCTATACCCCACCTCTCTTTCCATCTATGCCCCAACTCTCTTCCCATCTATGCCCAACCTCTATACCCATCTATCCCCCACCTCTCTTTCCATCTATGCCCCAACTCTCTTCCCATCTATGCCCCACCTCTCCACCCATCTATGCCCCACCTCTCTTCCCCTCTATGCCCAAACTCTTCCCATCTATACCCCACCTCTCCACCCATCTATGCCCCACCTCTCTTCCCATCTATGCCCCACCTCTCCACCCATCTATGCCCAACCTCTCTTCCCATCTATGCCCCAACTCTCAACCCATCTATGCCCCAACTCTCTTCCCATCTATGCCCCACCTCTCCACCCATCTATGCCCCACCTCTCTTCCCATCTATGCCCCAACTCTCCACCAATCTATACCCCACCTCTCCACCCATCTATGCCCCACCTCTCTTCCCATCTATGCCCCAACTCTCAACCCATCTATGCCCCAACTCTCTTCCCATCTATGCCCCACCTCTCCACCCATCTATGCCCCACCTCTCTTCCAATCTATGCCCCACCTCTCTTCCCATCTATGCCCCAACTCTCCACCCATCTATACCCCACCTCTCTTCCAATCTATGCCCCAACTCTCTTACCATCTATGCCCCACCTCTCCACCAATCTATGCCCAGTCTCTCCTCCCATCTATGCCCCACCTCTCTTCCCATCTATGCCCCAACTCTCCACCCATCTATGCCCCACCTCTCTTCCAATCTATGCCCCAACTCTCTTACCATCTATGCCCCACCTCTCCACCCATCTATGCCAAACCTCTCCACCCATCTATGCCCCACCTATCTTCCCATCTATGCCCCAACTCTCTTCCCATCTATGCCCCACCTCTCCACCCATCTATGCCCCACCTCTCTTCCAATCTATGCCCCAACTCTCTTACGATCTATGCCCAACCTCTCCACCCATCTATGCCCCACCTATCTTCCCATCTATGCCCCAACTCTCTTCCCATCTATGCCCCACCTCTCCACCCATCTATGCCCCACCTCTCTTCCAATCTATGCCCCAACTCTCTTCCCATCTATGCCCAACCTCTCCACCCATCTATGCCCCACCTATCTTCCCATCTATGCCCCAACTCTCTTCCCATCTATGCCCCACCTCTCCACCAATCTATGCCCCACCTCTCTTCCAATCTATGCCCCAACTCTATTCCCATCTATGCCCCAACTCTCTTCCCACATATGTCCCACCTCTTCTCCCACATATGTCCCACCTCTCCACCCACATATGCCCAACCTCTATACCCATCTATGCCCCACCTCTCAACCCATCTATGCCCCAACTCTCTTCCCATCTATGCCCGAACTCTCAACCCATCTATGCCCCAACTCTTTTCCCATCTATGCCCCACCTCTCTTCCCATCTATGCCCCAACTCTCTTACCATCTATGCCCCACCTCTCCACCCATCTATGCCCAGTCTCTCCTCCCATCTATGCCCCACCTCTCTTCCCATCTATGCCCCAACTCTCCACCCATCTATGCCCCACCTCTCTGCCAATCTATGCCCCAACTCTCTTACCATCTATGCCCCACCTCTCCACCTATCTTTGCCCAACCTCTCCACCCATCTATGCCCCACCTATCTTCCCATCTATGCCCAAACTCTCTTCCCATCTATGCCCAACCTCTCCACCCATCTATGCCCCACCTCTCTTCCAATCTATGCCCCAACTCTCTTACGATCTATGCCCAACCTCTCCACCCATCTATGCCCCTCTCTTCCCATCTATGCCCCACCTCTCCACCCATCTATGCCCCACCTCTCTTCCAATCTATGCCCCACCGCTCTTCCCATCTATGCCCCACCTCTCTTCCCATCTATGCCCCAACTCTCCACCCATCTATGCCCCACCTCTCTTCCAATCTATGCCCCAACTCTCTTCCCATCTATGCCCCACCTCTCCACCCATCTATGCCCCAACTCTCTTCCCATCTATGCCCCACCTCTCCACCCATCTATGCCCCACCTCTCTTCCCATCTATGCCCCACCTCTCCACCCATCGATACCCCACCTCTCCACCCATCTATGCCCCACCTCTCTTCCCATCTATGCCCCAACTCTCAACCCATCTATGCCCCAACTCTCTTCCCATCTATGCCCCAACTCTCCACCCATCTATGCCCCACCTCTCTTCCCATCTATGCCCCAACTCTCTTACCATCTATGCCCCACCTCTCCACCCATCTATGCCCAGTCTCTCCTCCCATCTATGCCCCACCTCTCTTCCCATCTATGCCCCAACTCTCCACCCATCTATGCCTCACCTCTCTTCCAATCTATGCCCCAACTCTCTTACCATCTATGCCCCACCTCTCCACCCATCTTTGCCCAACCTCTCCACCCATCTATGCCCCACCTATCTTCCCATCTATGCCCAAACTCTCTTCCCATCTATGCCCAACCTCTCCACCCATCTATGCCCCACCTCTCTTCCAATCTATGCCCCAACCCTCTTACGATCTATGCCCAACCTCTCCACCCATCTATGCCCAACCTCTCCACCCATCTATGCCCCAACTCTCTTCCCATCTATGCCCCAACTCTCTTCCCATCTATGCCCCACCTCTCCACCCATCTATGCCCCACCTCTCTTCCAATCTATGCCCCAACTCTATTCCCATCTATGCCCCATCTCTCTTCCCACATATGTCCCACCTCTTCTCCCACATATGTCCCACCTCTCCACCCACATATGCCCCACCTCTCTTCCCATCTATGCCCAACCTCTATACCCATCTATGCCCCACCTATCTTCCCATCTATGCCCCAACTCTCTTCCCATCTATGCCCCACCTCTCCACCCATCTATGCCCCACCTCTCTTCCCATCTATGCCCAACCTCTCTTCCCATCTATGCCTAACCTCTCCACCCGTCTATGCCCCACCTCTCCACCCATCTATGCCCCACCTCTCCACCCATCTATGCCCCAACTCTCTTCCCATCTATGCCCCAACTCTCTCCCCATATATGCCCAACCTCTCCTCCCCTCTATGCACCACCTCTTCTCCCACATATGCCCAACCTCTCTTCCCATCTATGCCCCATCTCTCCACCCATGCCCCATCTCTCCACCCATCTATGCCCAACCTCTCCTCCCATCTATGCGCCCCCCCCCCCCCCCTCTCTTCCCCTCTATGCCCCAACTCTCTTCCCATCTATGCCCAACCTCTCCACCCATCTATGCCCCACCTCTCCACCCATCTATGCCCCACCTCTCAACCCATCTATGCCCCAACTCTCTTCCTATCTATGCCCCAACTCTCTTCCCATATATGCCCAACCTCTCCTCCCATCTATGCCCCACCTCTTCTCCCACATATGCCCCACCTCTCTTCCCATCTATGCCCCATCTCTCCACCCACCTATGCCCCACCTCTCCTCCAACCTATGCCCCACCTCTCCTATCACCTATGCCCCACCTCTCCTCCCACCTATGCCCCACCTCTCCTCCCACCTATGCCCCACCTCTCCTCCCACCTATGCCCCACCTCTCCACCCACCCGTGCCCCACCTCTCCTCCCACCTATGCCCCACCTCTCCTCCCACCTATGCCCCACCTCTCTACTCACCTCCTAAGGTCCTACTTTGTTGTCCTTCTTGACGATCTCATAGAGGATCACAGCCGAGAAGAACGTCAGAAGGAACTGGAACGAGATTCAAGGAAACAACATCAGAAGTGTATGACATGCAACGCCCTTTCATTTAAGAGATTTAGCTTTGTGAGTTTCTGATAACATGGAATTACATAGCTGCTTGTCGTAAGAGGCAACTAACGGGATCGGGTGGTAAGGCTCGCTTACTTGGTTGAAACATGTCATCGTATCCCAATTGCGTGGATCGTTGCTCATGTGGTCAATCACTTGATTACCTGGTCCAGACACGATGATTTACAGACCGCCGTCATAAAGATGGAATATTGCTTTGTGCGGCGTTAAACAAAAATAAACAAACAAACAAACAGCATAGCTTAGACTTTCATTTATCAACAAAACTCGACTAGGTGTTTACTCCGGTATTATATCACATCAACTCTAAAAAAAAGGCACATGACAAAGTTGTTGACTGCTTTGTTGGTTTGTTGTTTAAAGACGATGGGATGTGGATAATCGAGTCCAGACCAGATAATCAGTGACCAGTGATTTACATCGCGACCATCCATCAATCAAGTCAACGAGCCTGACCACCCGATCCCGTTAGTTGCCTCTTAATACAAGCATAGTCGCCTCTTACGACATGCATAGTCGCCTCTTACGACATGCATAGGCGCCTCTTACGACACGCATAGTCGCTTCTTACGACAAGCATAGTCGCCTCTTACGACATGCATAGTCGCCTCTTACGACATGCATAGGCGCCTCTTACGAAATGCATAGGCGCCTCTTACGACATGCACAGTCGCCTCTTAGGACAAGCATAGGCGCCTTTTACGACAAGCATAGGCGCCCCTTACGACATGCATAGTGGCCTCTTACGACATGCTTAGTCGCCTCTTACGACAAGAATAGGCGCCTCTTACGACATGCATAGTCGCCTCTTACGACATGCATAGGCGCCTCTTACGACAAGCATAGTCGCCTCTTACGACAAGCATAGTCGCCTCTTACGACAAGCATAGTCGCCTCTTACGACATGCATAGTCGCCTCTTACGACAAGCATAGTCGCCTCTTACGACAAGCATAGTCGCCTCTTACGACAAGCATAGTCGCCTCCTACGACAAGTATAGTCGCCTTTTACGACAAGCATAGTCGCCTCTTATGACAAGCATAGTCGCCTCTTACGACAAGCATAGTCGCCTCTTACGACATGCATAGTCGCCTCTTACGACATGCATAGTCGCCTCTTACGACATGCATAGTCGCCTCTTACGACAAGCATAGTCGCCTTTTACGACAAGCATAGTCGCCTCTTACGACAAGCATAGTCGCCTCTTACGACAAGCATAGTCGCCTCCTACGACAAGTATAGTCGCCTTTTACGACAAGCATAGTCGCCTCTTATGACAAGCATAGTCGCCTCTTACGACATGCATAGTCGCCTCTTACGAAAAGTACAGTCGCCTCTTAGGACATGCATAGTCGCCTCTTACGACATGCATAGGCGCCTCTTACGAAATGCATAGGCGCCTCTTACGACATGCACAGTCGCCTCTTAGGACAAGCATAGGCGCCTTTTACGACAAGCATAGGCGCCCCTTACGACAAGCATAGTGGCCTCTTACGACATGCTTAGTCGCCTCTTACGACATGAATAGGCGCCTCTTACGACATGCATAGTCGCCTCTTACGACATGCATAGGCGCCTCTTACGACAAGCATAGTCGCCTCTTACGACATGCATAGTCGCCTCTTACGACAAGCATAGTCGCCTCTTACGACATGCATAGTCGCCTCTTACGACAAGCATAGTCGCCTCTTACGACAAGCATAGTCGCCTCTTACGACAAGCATAGTCGCCTCCTACGACAAGTATAGTCGCCTTTTACGACAAGCATAGTCGCCTCTTATGACAAGCATAGTCGCCTCTTACGACAAGCATAGTCGCCTCCTACGACAAGTATAGTCGCCTTTTACGACAAGCATAGTCGCCTCTTATGACAAGCATAGTCGCCTCTTACGACATGCATAGTCGCCTCTTACGAAAAGTACAGTCGCCTCTTAGGACATGCATAGTCGCCTCTTACGACATGCATAGGCGCCTCTTACGAAATGCATAGGCGCCTCTTACGACATGCACAGTCGCCTCTTAGGACAAGCATAGGCGCCTTTTACGACAAGCATAGGCGCCCCTTACGACATGCATAGTGGCCTCTTACGACATGCTTAGTCGCCTCTTACGACATGAATAGGCGCCTCTTACGACATGCATAGTCGCCTCTTACGACATGCATAGGCGCCTCTTACGACAAGCATAGTCGCCTCTTACGACATGCATAGTCGCCTCTTACGACAAGCATAGTCGCCTCTTACGACATGCATAGTCGCCTCTTACGACAAGCATAGTCGCCTCTTACGACAAGCATAGTCGCCTCTTACGACAAGCATAGTCGCCTCCTACGACAAGTATAGTCGCCTTTTACGACAAGCATAGTCGCCTCTTATGACAAGCATAGTCGCCTCTTACGACAAGCATAGTCGCCTCTTACGACATGCATAGTCGCCTCTTACGACATGCATAGTCGCCTCTTACGACATGCATAGTCGCCTCTTACGACAAGCATAGTCGCCTTTTACGACAAGCATAGTCGCCTCTTACGACAAGCATAGTCGCCTCTTACGACAAGCATAATCGCCTCCTACGACAAGTATAGTCGCCTTTTACGACAAGCATAGTCGCCTCTTATGACAAGCATAGTCGCCTCTTACGACATGCATAGTCGCCTCTTACGAAAAGTACAGTCGCCTCTTAGGACATGCATAGTCGCCTCTTACGACATGCATAGTCGCCTCTTAGGACAAGCACAGTTGCCTCTTAGGACATGCATAGGTGCCTCTTACGACAAGCATAGTCGCCTCTTACGACATGCATAGTCGCCTCTTACGACAAGCATAGTCGCCTCTTACGACATGCATGCGTAGCTGAAGATCAACTATATCCTGGACTTTCGTGGGTCTTGTTGAAGTTACTACTTCCATGTGTCGTCAAGTAAAGTCTAATCTGGATATGATTTTGATCTAGAAAATACGCATGTACTTTATAGTGTCATATCCGTCACAAAGGAAAGCCAAATTTCTGTTGCAATTATCTTATGGAACCAAACCCTTATTTGTTCTTGCGGTTTGGGAAGGTCTCTTTCATCCAGAGGCCCCGATGTCGCACTCGACATGAAGTGAAGCAAGCAAGTTAAAGTATGATATGTGTGTCACATTCATAGGCTTTGTTATGACATGAACACGTTGACTATGTCCTAAAGTCAAGGAGTCGAAGATATCTTTCATCAGTGTTCCAGAATCAAGGCCTGTGTTGGTTCACATGTTGTGAGTACTTGTCACAGACTGTTGGTGTGTCTGATCCTATCATAAGCAACGACATGCCCTCCGTCAAGTCCGGCACACCTGAATGATTACTCACCAAACCACCAACATCAGCACACCTGAATGGTTGTACTCACCAAACCACCAACATCAGCACACCTGAATGGTTGTACTCACCAAACCACCAACATCAGCACAGGCGAAGATGATGAAGGTGTCGCCTTTAAAGATGAAGTCCAGGAGAGTGTCAAAGCATCCCTAGGGAGACAGAAACACAGTCAGACGCAGTGACAACACTTAACATGGGGTTGCTCCACAATTGTTTAATCACCCGCATCAGCAGGGCTTTCAAAAGTAATTATGGCAGACATGTGGAGGCAGACACAAATGTGATTTATCAGTAACAAAATGGGCTTTCCTTTGATTCGAAAATGATTTTGTCGCATTTGTATGAAAGCATCCTTCAGAAAAGACGGATGTTTCAATATTCCTTTCACTAATGAGAATGCTATTTGATGCTATTACATAACCAGCTTCCTATTTAAAGAGTTATCACAACTTATTAATCATTTTACTTCGTAGATGCAATGCAATTCAATGCACCCTACAGGAACTCCTCCTTCGTCATCAGGGGTTTCCTCAACGACACAAACACACATAGTGTATCAGTACGCCCTACACACATCATCCACGACACAGACACACATAGTGTATCAGTACGCCCTACACACATCATCCACGACACATACACACATAGTGTATCAGTACACACATCATCCACGACACATACACACATAGTGTATCAGTACGCCCTACACACATCATCCACGACACATACACACATAGTGTATCAGTACACCCTACACACATCATCCACGACACAGACACACATAGTGTATCAGTACGCCCTACACACATCATCCACGACACAGACACACATAGAGTATCAGTACACCCTACACACATCATCCACGACACAGACACACATAGTGTATCAGTACACCCTACACACATCATCCACGACACATACACACATAGTGTATCAGTACGCCCTACACACATCATCCACGACACATACACACATAGTGTATCAGTACACCCTACACACATCATCCACGACACAGACACACATAGTGTATCAGTACGCCCTACACACATCATCCACGACACAGACACACATAGAGTATCAGTACACCCTACACACATCATCCACGACACAGACACACATAGTGTATCAGTACACCCTACACACATCATCCACGACACATACACACATAGTGTATCAGTACACCCTACACACATCATCCACGACACAAACACACATAGTGTATCAGTACACCCTACACACATCATCCACGACACAGACACACATAGTGTATCAGTACGCCCTACACACATCATCCACGACACAGACACACATAGTGTATCAGTACACCCAACACACATCATCCACGACACATACACACATAGTGTATCAGTACACCCTACACACATCATCCACGACACAGACACACATAGTGTATCAGTACACACATCATCCACGACACATACACACATAGTGTATCAGTACACCCTACACACATCATCCACGACACAGACACACATAGTGTATCAGTACACCCAACACACATCATCCACTACACAGACACACATAGTGTATCAGTACACCCAGCACACATCATCCACGACACAGACACACATAGTGTATCAGTATGCCCTACACACATCATCCACGACACATACACACATAATGTATCAGTACGCCCTACACACATCATCCACGACACAGACACACATCGTGAATCAGTACGCCCTACACACATCATCCACGACACAGACACACATAATGTATCAGTACGCCCTACACACATCATCCACGACACAGACACACATCGTGTATCAGTACACCCTACACACATCATCCACGACACAGACACACACAGTGTATCAGTACGCCCTACACACATCATCCACGACACATACACACATAATGTATCAGTACGCCCTACACACATCATCCACGACACAGACACACACAGTGTATCAGTACGCCCTACACACATCATCCACGACACAGACACACATAATGTATCAGTACGCCCTACACACATCATCCACGACACAGACACACATCGTGTATCAGTACACCCTACACACATCATCCACGACACAGACACACACAGTGTATCAGTACGCCCTACACACATCATCCACGACACAGACACACATAGTGTATCAGTACACCCAACACACATCATCCACTACACAGACACACATAGTGTATCAGTACACCCAGCACACATCATCCACGACACAGACACACATAGTGTATCAGTACGCCCTACACACATCATCCACGACACATACACACATAGTGTATCAGTACACCCTACACACATCATTCACGACGCATACACACATAGTGTATCAGTACGCCCTACACACATAATCCACGGCACAGACACACATAGTGTATCAGTACACACATCATCCACGACACATACATACATAGTGTATCAGTACACACATCATCCACGACACATACATACATAGTGTATCAGTACACCCTACACACATCATCCACGACACAGACACACATAGTGTATCAGTACACCCTACACACATCATCCACGACACAGACACACATAGTGTATCAGTACACACATCATCCACGACACATACACACATAGTGTATCAGTACACCCTACACACATCATCCACGACACAGACACACATAGTGTATCAGTACACCCTACACACATCATCCACGACACATACACACATAATGTATCAGTACGCCCTACACACATCATCCACGACACAGACACACATAGTGTATCAGTACACCCTACACACATCATCCACGACACAAACACACATAGTGTATCAGTACACCCTACACACATCATCCACGACACAGACACACATAGTGTATCAGTACGCCCTACACACATCATCCACGACACAGACACACATAGTGTATCAGTACACCCTACACACATCATCCACGACACAGACACACATAGTGTATCAGTACACCCTACACACATCATCCACGACACAGACATACATAGTGTATCAGTACACCCTACACACGTCATCCACGACACAGACACACATAGTGTATCAGTACACCCTACACACATCATCCACGACACAGACACACATAGTGTATCAGTACACCCTACACACATCATCCACGACACAGACACACATAGTGTATCAGTACACCCTACACACCTCATTCACGACCCAGACACACATCGTGTATCAGTACACCCTTCACACACACACACACACACACACACACACACACACACACACACACACACACACACACACACACACACACACACAGATCGATTACCTGGTTAAAGTTGCTGTTTGAAGCGTCAGGAGTTCTTGCACAGGCATCTCCTGTAGTCGGGGCTGTGAACTCCCCTGTCTTACAGCAGGCAATAGGTGCCGTGTACATGTGTGTAGACATCGTTCCATAATTTGCTTGCCACTTCGTCGCCTCCGCGAAGTCTTTGTTGTTGTCAATGCCACAACACTCCAGCTGAAATCACGATCTGAGGGATCAACATAGCATCCCGAACTATAGTACATTACATGAATGTTAGCATGCCCATTTACTTTTTTGTGATCACGTGTTCTAGTTCTTTATTCATTTAATGGCTTTAAAAATGCATTCTGTATCATGAATAAACGGTCGGAGTAAATGGGGATGTAGAACGTCGATGTTCCCAAGCTGGTTCCTGTAGACCTCGCCACTTGAAACAGAATCACGAAATATTGCGATGATTACTTAACGAAGATAACAGCATGTGTGTTAATATGCAAAATGCACATTTAAAGAAATAACAATTTTCTTAGCGATAAACATCACTGAGATTTGATAACGTGGTTACAATCAGACTGATGGGTAAGGTGACTATAGTTAGCACACATCTGCAGCGCTCGTACATCATCAGCACGAACTGAAAAAATACTGCACACATAGTGTTTAAAGTGCTATTGACCAAGGTCACTGCAAAAAATAACCGCTCAAAGTCACCTGACTTTCAATTCCTAACCCATAGTAACCACGTGATCAAATCTAAATGATGATGTTTATCGCAAAAACAATTGACATTTCTTGAAAAGCGCGCTTTGAAATGTTTTTCATTACTGTAAGTAGTATGTATATCGGCGGGGTATCAACTCGCTCCGTCTATTTTTTTTAAACAGGTAAACAGTAGCTATGAGACAACCCATGTATAGTCAGTGATGAGTTACTTTGTAAGTTAGACATGTTGGCATGTGGATCAATCCATTTTACTGCGAACAGGGGTGCACGAAATTAAAATTGAATCTATTATCTGCTATTAATAGCTATATTGTCAAACCATCTGATTTTACTTTCATTCCTTAATTGTGAAAAAAAATCTTTATTTTAATCTTATCCCATTACGAAGAATTTGAATTAAATACATGCATGTACAATGCTATGAATCTCAATTTGAAGTTGTACCCCCCAGACACCCCTATGTACATAGATAGTCTCTCCCAAACATTTATACGGGTCAGTGACCACACGGATTACACTGAGCCGTGGAGAAGCCAGTCATGCATGGTGAAGCTCTAACAATGAGACGACCCGGGTTATAACCGGACGCGGAATGGCTTGTTTTCACTTTGTAAGTATTAGACAACATGTAGCCATTTTCGTTAATTAATCATCGCGATATTTCGTGGTTCTGTTGCAAGTGGCGAGGACAAGAGTGACCACAGCAGGAGCGAGTTATTGTCCGTCCACTGAGGTGAAACAGAACTTCTGTCCACTGACCCAAACAGTCGAGTGTGAAAACAAAGAAGCATATTATAAAAAGAGTGAGTGAGTATGGTTTTACGCCGTTTTTAGCAATATTCCAGCAATATCACGACGGGGGACACCAGCAATGGGCTTCATTGTATCCATGTGGGGTCTCGAACCCGGGTCATGTGCGTGACGAGCGAACGCTTTAACCACTAGGCTACCCCACCGTCACCGGGGTACGTAATTAAAGTCAGATGACAGGCGCATACACATTGCACACGATCAGTTGATACGGAGGAGACGTGAAATCGGGCTTAACGTCGCTTTCAAGAATATTACACTTATATAGCGACGTGCATGCACGTGTGTGTGCATGTGTGGCTGCTTGTACTAGTCCGGACTAATGCCGATTATATAGCGCTAGCCCACTGAGATATCACACTGCAGGTTAACATGAATGCCAAACTCAGACACAGTTTTCTGACTCCGAGCGGACCAGTCCTTGTTTTAGTCCCTTAAAGCCGAGCGCCAGGCAGGGTAACAACAAGTACCTTCATTTAACGTATTTTGGTATGACGCGGCCGGGGATCGAACCCCCGACATTCCGCTCTCCGGGCGGACGCTCTAGTATAAGACCACGTAGGCGGTCGCAGTTGATGTAGACGTTAAGCATGTCATCAATGCGACTACCAACACAAATTACTAGTGTTGCTCCAAAGCTATGTCAGGTAAAACTAAAAGCAATTCTTGTATCGTTTGGTTGCAGCTCCGACAGGTAAGTCCAAGAAGAATTCGGCGATTCGGCGATCGCGAAAGGATGTAAAGAAATTCTATCACAGAAAATTCGCAGAATTGCTGAAATATTGCCATGTTGACTTTTTTTTGTCATTCAATAAACTAATTTTCATTATTTTCAAGGTTTTCTATTAAAGTTCCACTCGAATGATGCCCAAATAATTAGCATGTGGTTCAAGGATATAACATATTGAATCCAGCAGTAAAACGAAATTTGAAATAATTATTCGCACTTTTAAAGATTTGTGTGGTATTATGACAAAATAACCTACGTTTAGACCTAACCAAAAATAAATATCAGTGACAGCAATGCATATTTGTTTTCAAAATTTTGTTTGAGGGATATAGTTTGGTGACGTGTTCTAATTGTTTGGTAAGCGCTATCAAAAACGAGTTTAGTTAAGGGAAAACTTGTATTCATCTAAATTCCAAATAACCATTATATAGGATTAAAGAAACTAATATGTAACTACGGTCGCCACATTTGCAAGATGAATTGATTCTCTCTATATAATTAAACAACCTGTCACTTGCCTGCGTCATCAGTTGATACTCTCTATATAATTATACAACCTGTCACTTACCTGCGTCATCAGTTGATACTCTCTATATAATTAAACCTGTCACTTACCTGCGTCATCAGTTGATACTCTCTATATAATTATACAACCTGTCACTTACCTTCGTCATCAGTTGATACTCTCTATATAATTAAACAACCTGTCACTTACCTGCGTCATCAGTTGATGCTCTCTATATAATTATACAACCTGTCACTTACCTGCGTCATCAGTTGATACTCTCTATATAATTATACAACCTGTCACTTACCTTCGTCATCAGTTGATACTCTCTATATAATTATACAACCTGTCACTTACCTGCGTCATCAGTTGATGCTCTCTATATAATTATACAACCTGTCACTTACCTGCGTCATCACCAAATTGAAGGTTAGTGACGTCACATCTTTTCCATCGAGGCCCTGAAACTCCTTCTGTAGTGTCGTCTTCAGACCGTTTCGGGGGTAGTCAAGAATCTGCAGGACAAATTTAAATATAAAAAAGACGCAAATCTTTTTTTCGCAAATCGATTAAAACGTGATAGCACACGTCGCCACTCTTAACCGTGTGCAGTGGAAGAACTGTGTAGTGATATTTCCTTAATTGACAGCTTCATGCAAACCGTAATTATTAGCGAACAAAATACTGCCTAATATATGAACAACATAATGATATACCAAGTGAGTATGGTTTTACGCCGCTTTTAGCAATATTCCATCAATATCACGGCGACACCAGAAATGGGCTTCCCACATTGTACCCGGGTCTTCGGTATGATGAGGTAACGCTTTAACCACTAGGCTACCCCACAGAATTGACACCTCTGAAGTGTATCTGTTGTGTAATTGTGAGGGTTGAAGAGGAGGAACATCCAGGAGGTTTAACAAGTTTCTGTGACGTACATATATAGATTTATAAGGGGAGAATCATTACTTACCAGACCTCTGTTGAGGACCAGGATGAGGACCAGGGCCAGTTGACTGACAAACAGTAGACCGACTATCACCATGTACTGTGAGCAAACACGTGGAACATTATCAGAGCTGTTAAAGTCAGCTGTGTGAACATCATATTCCTCTCACAAATTGTAACTTAGTTGACATGTTGTAACTGCGAAATATAAACATGTGCATACACTGATGTATGTTTTACGTACATAACTTCGACAACGTAAAACATGTTTTATCTACAATAGTTTAACCCAAAACAGTTGCATATATCAAAACAGACAAAAATGACGACATTGATAAACATTCCAGGTGTAGGAATACATACAGTTACGTGACATAAATCAGGTGATCGTTTAATTTATGCACATAACTGGACACGCCTACACAGTCAGGAGCCAATCAACGGAGAGTGGGATTAAAACAATGTTCATTGGACCTGTCAATTAAGGCAAGAGGCGAAAAGAACTGCAACAGTCAGACTGTAACGAACCGGAAGAAATATGTCCGAGAAAAGGCGCTGTTTCAAATAACATGGTCCTTTACTGCGTGATTCAAACATTACTTCCCTGATTACGGTAAAACACAGTTGGAGAAATGCTAGTTAGAAACGAAACCCGAAGACATGAAAGTTGAACCGAGGCGAGCGGGAAAAAATCAGGCGAGCGAGCCTGCACGTTTGCTGTTTCATTCATTCTCGACCTTCGGTTTCAAAGGGTAGTTTGGACAATGAATATGCATGAAAGTCGCTAAATGTCCTGTGCATGACGATACACGTGAGCAGAAAGGGAGTTCCCTCGACTGTAATATTGGGATTCCCCGACATTCCGCAGTAATGAAAGTAGTGCGCCGCGGTGGGCGTGGCTTAATTTTTTACATTCATTGGGAAATGAATGCAATAACACGTGACCAATTCAGCTAATCAGAATGTAGGAATTTCCATGAACACAACGAAAATTTAAGTATAAACTATTGACATATTTATTTATAAAAACTAATTTCTTCGTTTTTCGTGTTTATACGGAGTTATGAACTTAAACAGCTGTGTGCACACTGCAAAGTTATTATTATTATTATTATTATTATTATTATTATTATTATTAGTCAACACTGTCTCTACTCACACAGATGACCATGCACTTGATCATACAGCAAGCTCCCACGAGGCCGAAGATCCCGATAACCATCATAACAAGCCCAAGGACAATGAAGGCTATAGCCAGACCGCCAATCACCTCGTCCAGGTTTATTTCTGGGAAAGTATTTGAACTACTTGTAAGCGCGTCGGCCTGTGCTTGAACTATTTTCAGCGCGGTGTCGAAGAGCCCGGATACGAATGGCGCTTGTACCTTGACCATGACCCCAGCGGCCAAGAGAGCCACGCCTATGATCTGAAACAGAGTGAGGAAAGTTAAAGAAAAAGGTGTGAGTGTGTGTGTGTGTGAGGGGGGGGGGGGGGGGGGGGGGACAACTATGGGGAACAACTCAACATAGACACTTCCCTCTAAAAAATAACGTCATCCAATTTACGACGTCTTCAATTTTCCGTGAGCATGTTCAAATCTCCAGAAATGATGTCATGATAGAACAATGTTTTATTGTGCAATAAACCTCATTGTTCTTTGCGGTTTATTGTGAATCTATCTTTTATGTTGATAAGTGAGGGAGGTGTATCGTGACCTCTAATTTGAATTATCTGACAGTGTGTCAGCTGGTGGGACAATAGCCGCGAGAACCAGATTGGTGCAACCAACAATTACAGGTATGGTGCTGAGCAGATCTTTCATTATAACCCACAGCTGTGTTCAATAAAATCTTCCCATCTACAAGAAAAAAGTCTGAGTAATATCACTTTTATATCACAACTCATTTCCTTTCTACAATTCCCTCCGGACATTGACCTACCAAAATGACAGAATAAGTATCACAGCTAACATGTTTATTATTGTACAAAAAATACAATCACAGTGTTCAAAACATATTAAATACCAAAGCTGCCACATGTCCTTGTATGTGATATGGTGAATTGAGGTGCGGTGAGGTGAAATGGGGTTTAACGTCACGTCCAAGATTATTGCACTTATATATCGACGTGCATGTATGTGTGTGTGTTTGTGTGGCTGCTTGTACTAGTCCGGACTGATGCCGATTTATAGTGCTAGGTCACTGAGATACCATGCCGCAGTTTAACAAGAATACCCCACTCAGACACAGTTTACTGACTCCGAGCCGACCAGTCCTTGTTTTAGCCCCGTAATGCTGAGCGCCATACAGGGTAACAACAAGTACCATCTATTAACGTCTTTTGGTATGACGCGTCCGGGGATCGAACCCCGGACCTTCCGCTCTCCGGGCGGACGCTCTACCACTACACCACGGAGACATGAGAAGTGTGAACGACCAACTTTTTGTATCGTTTGTTTTCATGATGGCAACATGGACGTGTTGTTCTCATGACCGATGATAGTAGTGAGTGAGTGAGTGAGTTGGGTTTGAAGATCATTGAGATGGGCTTGATAAATTATACGCACAGCAAATAATCCAGCCCAAGAGATTAAAAATCTTAAATATTATAAACCTGAAATAATAATAAGATAAACTTGTAGACACGTTGGCATGTAGTTGATGTCATCGAAAACGGATAGTACGTAGGCCCTAGGGTGGTCAAGTGCTCTAAGTCGCTGGAGACTTATGCGGAGCTGCGTCATGCCGTGTCAGGATCAGGAGTTTGGATCCATTCTTCGTCCTGATAATATTTTTTTTGTCATGACCACGCCAATCCGCGTAGGTTTTACCAAACGGGTAGTCTATATGAAACTTTTCACTCACTCACTCACTCACTCACTCACTCACTCACTCTCCCACTCAACCATTCACCCACTCACTCACTCACTCTCCCACTCACTCACTCTCCCACTCACTCACTCTCCCACTCACTCACTGACTCACTCACTCTCCCACGCACTCACTCACTCACCCACTCACTCACTCACTCACTCACCCACTCACTCACTCACTCACCCACTCACTCACTCTCCCACCCAATCACTTTCCCAATCACTCACTCACTCACTCTCCCACGCACTCACTCACCCACTCACTCACTCTCCCACCCAATCACTCTCCCAATCACTCACTCACTCACTCTCCCACGCACTCACTCACCCACTCACTCACTCACTCACTCTCCCACTCACTCACTCACCCACTCACTCACTCACCCACTCACTCACTCTCCCACTCACTCACCCACTCTCCCACTCACTCACTCACACACTCACTCACTCACTCACTCACTCACCCACTCACTCACTCACTCACCCACTCACTCACTCACCCACTCACTCACTCACTCTCCCACTCACTCACTCACTCACTCACTCTCCCACGCACTCACTCACCCGCTCTCCCACTCACTCACTCACTCACCCACTCACTCACTCACCCACTCACTCACCCACTCACTCACTCACTCACTCACTCACTCACTCACCCACTCACTCACTCACCCACTCACTCACTCTCCCACTCACTCACTCTCCCACTCACTCACTCACCCACTCACTCACTCTTCCACTCACTCACTCACCCACTCACTCACTCTCCCACTCACTCACTCACTCACTCACACACTCTCCCACTCACTCACCCACTCACTCACTCACTCTCTCTCCCACTCACTCACTCACTCACTCACGCACACACTCTCCCACTCTCCCACTCACTCACCCACTCACTCACTCACTCTCTCTCCCATTCACTCTCCCACTCACTCACTCACACACTCACTCACTCACACACTCACTCACTCTCCCACTCACTCACTCACACACTCACTCACTCACTCACTCACTCACTCTCCCACTCTCCCACTCACTCACTCACTCACTCACTCACTCACTCACTCACTCACTCACTCACCCACTCACTCACTCTCCCACTCACTCACTCACTCACTCTCCCACTCACTCACTCACTCACTCACACACTCTCCCACTCTCCCACTCACTCACCCACTCACTCACTCACTCTCTCTCCCACTCACTCACCCACTCACTCACTCACTCACTCTCCCACTCACTCACTCACTCACTCACTCACCCACTCACCCACTCACTCACTCACCCACTCACTCTCCCACTCACTCACTCTCCCACTCACTCACTCTCCCACTCACTCACTCTCCCACACACACACACACTCACTCACTCACTCACTCACTCACTCACCGTGAAGATGAGGCTGAGGATGCCGATGAGGATCCGGCCAAGGATGGAGAGACACTGACACATGGTGGCTTCAGTGTTACAGTACCACTATCTGCAAGTAGAAGTAGTCTTTTAATGGCATGTATATGATTTCTTTTCAATGTGTTTTTAAATGTGTTGATAATTCCGAGTTTCCGAAAGTCTTCTTTACAATCTTCCGACTGTGCGACCAAAATGAGGATTGAGTGGTTAAAATGTCGGACCTTGCACTATGTGTACCGACATGGATTGCTGCTTTGCCCAGGCTGTCTTGGTACGACTGGATTTCTATGTTGACAACTCGTCACGATATGGCTGAAATATTGCCGATGTGACCTTAAATTGTAACTCACTCACTCACTATGTTGACAAAGACATCGATCTCCCCAAGATTAAGGAGCACTAAAACCATATCGCTATATATAGCTACTATATCATTTTGTCTTGATAATGACTTAATTTATTCCAAATGTTACTGTACCTTTGCGTGTGCGCATTGTGATTTCTAGTCAGATAAGAACCACCGCCTCAGGGAGCGACCAGCTAATATTGGGGGGTGGGGGTGGGGCTGGGGGGTGGGGGGGTGGGTGGGGGAGTGCGGATGGGGAGAGAGCTGCAGTTTTTTGTGAGCTATTGTTTCCTGTCACTGCTTCAAAACACGCTAAACCACTGACTTGGTAATTACATGTCATCGCATCCCAATTGCGTGGATCGATGCTCATGATATCAATCACTGGATTGTCTGGTCCAGAGTCGATTATTTATATACCGCCGTCATATAGCTGGAGTAATGCTGAGTGCGGCGTTAAACAACAAACAAACAAACAAAAACAAAACTACCACCACTACTATGTCTGTTACTACTACTAATTATGATGCTACTATTCATGTCATCATGCGAGAGAGAGAGAGCCAGAGAGAGAGAGAGAGCCAGAGAGAGAGAGAGCCAGAGAGAGAGCCAGAGAGAGAGAGAGCCAGAGAGAGAGCCAGAGAGAGAGAGCCAGAGAGAGAGAGAGCCAGAGAGAGAGCCAGACAGAGAGAGCCGGAGAGAGAGAGAGCCAGAGAGAGAGAGAGCCAGAGAGAGCAAGAGAGAGAGAGAGCCAGAGAGAGCCAGAGAGAGAGCCAGAGAGAGAGAGAGCCAGAGAGAGAGAGAGAGAGAGAGAGAGAGAGAGAGACCTTGCAGTGCTATCAGATATGGAATTGTGTAACGTGTCGGTGACGACAGTTACCGCTGCTACAAAGTTCTGAAATGCGTCTTTGATGTTTCGCAGCTGCCTGTTTGCTCTGTTGACCTTGTGTTATTGTGTCTTACTTCCTAGCTACGCAAGGGTAGACCATTCACAGCGGGTCCTACACTATCTGCTTTACGGGTGGCGATTGTCACCAGTGTTCCTTCTTCCAAGAAAGTCCACCCCTTTCTCAGACATGCAGCCATTGCTAAGGTCCACGACCCCCTCAACATATATTCTACTTATAAACCTATTCATTGGGATCGCTATTAAGTAAGAGACTTCTTTCTATAGGCATTAAAACCTATTGTGAGGTTTTACTTTCCAGTCGGGTTAAATCTCATAAACAGGGACGTTGTAATGTCCCTGGGATTTTATATAATATCCCTGGAATTTTATAGGATATTCTAGTCATATTTGCTATAATATCCCTGGGATTTTATATAATGTCCTGGGTATTTTATTAATGTAACTTCCGTTCAGATTGAAACCTGTAATGAAATGTAAAATCAAATGACAAATGTTTTCTTTATATTCCTGAGAATCGAACTCGCAACCTCCATATCTGTAGCCCAGTAAGTGTACCACAAGGCTACAGAGGTGTTGTGGGCCACGTTGTTTTTCAGAATGTCCATTTCAAGATCCAAACGCCAGCAACAGATATTTTACGCGCGTTTCCTAAGGTTCATGGAAAGTATGTTCGAAACATAAAAATGTTGATAAATGTTTTTTGAAGTTTCTTTTTTCGGTTTATAAGTATGGAAAAACACTTTCCCTCGGTTTTGGTAGACAGAGCATGCCCTGGGCTTCGCGCCCTTGGTTTTTCCCGACCCCCAGGGCATGCTCTGTCTACCAAAACCTCGTAAGCGTGTTTTCTCCAATACATAATGGAACATTCATAGGACGTCAGCAGCGTATACGGGTACATCGGCCGTAATGAATAGGGTATAGCCTATAGAGTAGGTACCTCGAGTACTTTGTATACCACTGTTACAGAGTTCTGCATTTGGTCAGATATTCTGACGGTTCACCGATACAATACTGGATATATTAACACTTTGACGTCATATATATGTATACCCCGATCGAAACGTTTGATAAAACTAATATCACACAATTTTCCTATAAATTTAAAGTATGCATTTCTTTTTCTAATCGATTTCGTTTTTAACCTTTTGTCTACGTCCTTGACTCTGGCTAAAATATTCTTCAACCCATGAAGTGTGAAATGCATCTTTACTGCTTCCTAAGGAAACCTAGACGGGACATTGTCGCGTTGTCGCTCGTCGCACTCGAAAAAACAAGCAAAACGTGTTAAAATCAGTTAAAACGAGACAATACAACAAGGCGACAATGTCCCTTCTGGGATGCCACAGTTCTTGTTGAGGTAGACTATTTTAGTATCTGTGTGAGATGCAAGAAGCTGGCAGAATGAACGATGGTGCCATGAGGACGACAACACTGACTTCAGCACGTACGTTGTAGCGCAATGACCGACCTATTTACGTGTTGGTTTGTTTTCATCGTCAGGGATTAAGTAAACAGCAACCTTTGTTATTAATCCCTCGGTGTTATCATTGACGCACAGGCTTATCAGATAATCCACCAGTGAAAGACCGACTAAAGACAAAGATTTAGTTGACCTGAAATAATTTTTATTGTACATGCCGCCATGTGAGGGGGCATCTAGTTACTATCTTATAACAACTGCTCTACAGTTCCGGGCAAAAAGTTTTTACTTTATTTACCATAACTACTGCGGAATTGTAATCGGATTATTTGCGCCACAATTTTTATGCAAATCCAGTGACAAACATATGCACTGTATTTTGCAAATGATCGGATCTAATAACATACTAATATAAATATGAGTCCATTTTATCATGTACACACATGCAAAGGCAAGTCAATTTTTCACGGGAAATAACACGGCAACATATGATACAAGTAAGTTAGAATAGGGAATTGCATTAGACACCACAGTCAGAGAAATTCAATGCAGTCGGATATAGAACTGTGGAACGGGTCGGTGATTGGCTAAGGCAGTAACATGCAAAATTGGACTGAAAAGCGTCAAAGAAGTTTCGCAGCTACCTCTTTGCTCTGTTGACCTTGTGTTATTGTATCTTACTTCCTAGCTACGCAACGGTAGGCCATTCACAGGGAGGTCATACCCTATCGGCTACAGGTGGCGATTGTCACCAGTGTTCACACTTCCAAGAAAGTCGACCCCATTCTCAGACATTCAACCATTGCTAAGCTCCACGACTGTTGGGAAGACAAGCCAATATCACTTATTGATTGATTCATCCTGATATAAGTCCATTTCAAATCTTTACTAATATGTAAAGGCGATCCAGTTGTTCACCTGAAATGACACCAGAACATAGGCTATCTGACACCATTTTTGTTATTGATGCGTCAAATTTAGAAATGTTCAACCATAAACTCTTTGAAAACTTTAATGAGGCCATGAATGTTGTAGCACCTATCAAACAATTTTGTGCACATATTGAAGGCAGATATATTATCTTAGTATCTTGATGTTTATGTCACTGAATCTTTATGTTTGTTTTTTTGTTTAACGCCGCACTCAGCAATAGTCCAGCTATATGACGGTGGTCTGTAAATAATCTGGCCTGGACCAAACAATCCAGTGATTGACATCATGAGCATCGATCCACACATTTGGGATACGATGACATGCATCAACCAAGTCAGCCATGAGCCTGACCACCCGATCCCGTTAGTCGCCTCTTACGACATGCATAGTCACCTTTTACGGCAAGTATGGGTTGCTGAAGACCTATTCTACCCCGGATCTTCACGGGTCGAATCTTTAAGAATAAACCTATACATGAAACAGATGAGGCGGAATTCCCCTATAATGACTCTAATGCCCACCCGTATGCATAAAGAGACGAATCGACAAGATGGAAGCATCACTAGTCCCCATGGGTATGCCTACTTCTTGCCCTACCCCCTCATTTCACATGGATAGTGAAGTAACCATATACGTTGTTATTCGAATTCGAAGCGGATCCTGGCACATCTAAGCGACGCGACTCTACACAGTTTACTTTCCGCACCCAAGCTGGCTGGGTCACCTTTGACCTTGACAGAAATGAACGGAACTGAATCACAGTTGAACATCTGAACCGTATGTTGTTCAGGTATTAGTTTGATAGAGGAGTCAAGTGCATAAAAGATGTTTTCATTTCTTAGATGGTGATTCATTGATGCATGCTCGTGATATGGCCGCACCTGTGCAATCGACTCTGCTTTGGGCAGATATTTCTTATAAATATGGAAAGTGTTTTGTCTCTTTTATTTATCATGAAATAATCAATTGTCATTTCAATAATTATTAATTTCAAGATGTGATTTAAGCAACAAATATATTTTTTTATATAACATTTATATAACAATAAATATTTGGATATAGCTGGATAATAATAATATTATTTATTAAGAGAATCTTACGCAATCAGACGAAAATATATTTTTTTTTAATTCAAGCATTTGAATGTATCATCAATAATGTCTTAAAGTGTCCTTGGAAATTGTATTTCATATCTTCTTCATCAGTACCATGTTTTAAAAAACTACATAATGGAATCCTGTTTTCGTGAGGTAAATGCTTTCAATGTTTGATTTCAATATCTTTATTGTCTCTACATGTTACGATACAGTTTCAGGAAACATCGATATATCGACCCAAACATGACTGGCTGCTGACATCCAAGAACACACAAGACACACTGAGATAATTCTCTGTGTGAGATAGGATCGCCACATTGCTACGACCAGTCGGCATGTCTCCGCCCACGGCTGTGTTCCACGA